TAGTTTGGCTAATTATCTCTGTACATTTTCCCATTATGTTTTCAATGTCCTTTGCTCATAGAATCCCTCCTCTCTCTCATTGATTGGACTCCTGGAGCTTGGGCTGGCGCTCGGCCGTGGATCTCCACTTTTTATTAGAGCAATCAGGTGCCTTCGGCAGGAAAGGTGAAATAAATACAACACACCTTTACAAAATTAAACACACGTTGTTACATCATTAAACAAATGCAGCATAAACAAATGTAACACACCTCTGCCTAGCTAAATTATTTTCCAAAACAAGGATGACCTTAACATTCTGATTCCCTTATCTTTGCCTCCTGGGAGCTGGAATTTTTGACTTGTATCACCATGCTTCTATCTGTAATGATTCTACCATTTTATCAACATCATCATTATTTGTGGGAATCAAACACAGGTCTCACTGTATGCTCAGCAAGCACTCTTCTACTAAACTACACCTCAGCTTTTTTATTTTTATCTGTGACAGTCACACTAAGTTACTCAGGCATATCTTGAACATAATTTGCATCCCATGGAAGTCCTTGTGATGCCTGAACTACCAGACCAGCTTTACCTTTTCTTTAAATTTTCAATCTTTTTTTGGTTTTTAGGTTCTCGATCTGTAGCCCAGATTGGTTTGGAACTCACAGCAAAATATTACTGCCTCAGCGTCCCAAGCCCTGGAACTGTACTTTCCAGTTATTAGGTCCAACTATCTTTTTTCTGAGACAGGGTTTTTCCATTCTGTGTTTCAGACTTCCCAGAAACTGGCTACGTAGCCCAGGCTGATCTCCAATTCCTGATCCACTTACTTTAGATTTCCAGGTCCTAGGACATCAGGTCTCACCACACTTGCCTATGTTTTTTTTTTTTTTTTTTTTGGCTGTATCAATGATGGAACCCAGGGCCTTCCATATGTTACATATGCTACTAAGACATAGTTCCCAACAAGGTTCTGGGTTTTTGCTTGTGTTTTGAGATGGGATCTTACTGTGTGGTCCTGGATAAGCCAGAACCCATTATGTAGGCCAGGATGGCTTCAAATTTGCATTGATTTTCCTACCTACTCAAATGCTGGAAAATGTTAGTAAGTTGGTTGCAGAATGTGAGTTTTGCAACTCTGTGGGTTTGGTGTCCTTACTACCTAGGGAGTTGGGCAACACCTTGAGCTATGTAGTACAGCTGTGGTGGCTGAAACTGCAAGGAGACAGTTCAGGCCTGGAGGGCGAGGTATCCTGGACACCTCTAGCTGCTTAGAACAGCTCTGCACTGAAGGTGTCCCGGACACCTAGAGCTGTGTAGCATAGCACTGACAGCTGGGACTGCAAAGAAACAGCCCAACCCTGGAAGGGAAATTTTGCTGACTTCTCTGGAGAGTCAGGCCTGGAACTGCTTCAGCAGGGAGGGTACCCTGACTCTTTGGGAAAGTCAGGATATACCTGGTGTGATGGGTGATGGTCTCCCTGCAGGACACAGCAATCCTGCTCCTCTCCTGGAGAGCCGCAATCTCAGGCTCAGTGTTACCAGCTCTCTCTTGTGCAGTCCACTATGGGATGTCTTAGCAAGGTTCTTCTGTTCAGCTTCCCCTTGCTTAATCCACTATGGGACGTCCCAGCAAGGTTCTTCTGTGCACCAGTATAAATGAAGGTCTTCACCCAAAACTCTTTTGAGAAAGAGATTTGGGAAGGAGAAGTCCAGGAGAGCAGCTGCCTCTACCAGGGTGGAGAGAACAGCTCACAACTGATCGGGCAGGGAGGTTTATATAGGATGTCTAGGGGGCGGAGTCAACTGTGATTGGTTAGTTTTTTTCTGCCCAGAGATTGGCCAGTTTTGTGGGCAAGGGGCAGAGATGACCCTGATTTCAGGGTCAAACTGTTTCTTTCACTGGCCTTTCTTGGCTTTTTGACACTACCTCTAAGGCCAGGACACATTTCTTTCACTGACTCTGATTCTAGGGGCCAAGATTGTTATTTTGGTACTAGTTTCAGAGTCAGAGCATATTTCCTTGGTTCTGGGTTTGGGGATAAAGTGTTCACTTCTCTGGCTCAGGTCCCAAACACAGGCTGCGTTTCTTTCCCTGGTCCTGGGCCCTAGGGCCAGGATTCTACTGTCCTGCTCTGTGATTGGTTGGTTTCACAAGTCAGTTGGACAGGGCCAGAGATGGCTCTGATCTGAGCTAAACTATGTTTCTCTCACTGGCCTTATCTGAGCCATCCTTCCCGAATTCTGGGCTCCAGGGTCAGGGTGGGTTTCCTTAGTCAGCTCCTCTTCCCTACAGGGATTACAGGCATGTACCACCATGCCTGACTTCCAACTGTTACTTTATTTGAGGCAGGGTCTCATGTATCCCAGTCTGGCCCCAAACTTGCTCTGTAGCCAAAACGACCTTAAACTTCTGATTCTCTTGCCTCCACCCAGAGTGCTGGAATTACAAGTGTACACCACAACTGGCCCCATTGTTTTTTCACTACAGATACATTTGCATTTTTTAGAATTTTATATAAATAGAACTACACAGTATGTGCTCTTTTGTGTCTGACTTTTACTTAGTATAATTACTTTGAGGTTTATGGGCACTGCTATAATAATTGTTCTGTCATTTTTATTACTTGGGTTTACTTTTGTTGTTTTGTTTATGTTTATGTTGTTTTTTCGAGACAGGGTTTCTCTGTGTAGCTTTGGAGCCTGTCCTGGAACTCACTCTGTAGACCAGGCTGGACATGAACTCAGAGATCTGCCTACCTCTGCGCACCCCCCCCCCCCCCCCCCCCAGTGCTAGGATTAAAGGCCACCATTGCCAGGCCGTTGTTTTGTTTTTAATAAGGTCTCACAGCTGGGGGTTGGTGTTGGTGCAAGCCTTTAATCCCAGAACTCAAGAGGCAGAGATCTCTGTGAGTTTGAGGCCAGCCTGGTCTACAGAGTGAGTTCCAGGACTACCAGGGTGGTTATACAGAGAAATCTTGTCTCAAAAAACAAAAACAAACAAAACAAAACAAAAGATCTCAGTATGTAGCCCTGGCTGTCCTGGAACTCACTCTGTAGACCAGATTGGCCTTGAATGCACAGAGATCCACCTGCCTCTGCCTTCCGAGTGCTGAGATTAAAGGTGAGTGGCACAATCACTATATTTTTTTAAACCTTTGTTTCTGTGTATTCATGCTGAAGCCACTTCACAAACATAGAGGTCTGAGCGAGGACAGCTTTTGGGCATCTTAGAACTCAGTTCTCTCCTTGTGGGTCCTGAGGGTCAAACCCCGGTCTTTGGCTTAGTGGCAAGGGTCTTGACCTGCTCAGCCATCTTGCCAGCCCTTGAGTTTACTATTGTGTCTGAACGGACAGTAGTCCACTTGAGCATGTGGCTCTGGCAGGCCTTGCCCTTCTCCCCCAGCCCCTTTGCTTTGCTAAAAAAACCGTTAGGTTGCATTCCCAAAGCTAGCCATCAAGGTCTATTCTCTTATTTGGCCACTTTCTCCTCCTGAGGCTGACTCCCAAGGTCCAGCTATCAAAAGTCTCCTTTGGTTCATGTAATGAACATGCCCAGTTAAAATTAATGCCGGGTGGTGGTGGTCAGCGGCGCACGCCTTTCATCCCAGCCCTTGGGAGGCAGAGGCAGGAGGATCTCTGTGAGTTCAAGGCCAGCCTGGGCTACAGAGTGAGTTCCAGGAAAGGCGCAAAGCTACACAGTGAAACCCTGGCTCGAAAAACCAAACCAAACCAAACAAAACAAACAAAAAAATAAAAATAAACACCTCGTCCTAACGCGAGGTTTCCCCTTTTCCCTTTAAAAACTGCCATTTGCCTATGTGCCACGTCTGTCTCCTCTCTATCCAGAGACAGTCCTTTGTCCCTCTGGGGCCAATACCCCTGTCCCTTTTCCCTTGTTCCCTTCCCCTTCTCCCTCATCCCCTACCTCCTTTCCCACGGCATCCTAGCCCATTCCAACACAGACCTCCCCTTTTCTCTTCCTAAGAATGACACCTGCAGGGTCGTTTGCTGCTGTTTTCTGCCGGAGTCAGGAAGCAGATCTTTAACTTTTCTTCCCTGCTTAATAAAGGATCTCTCGCCAGGCGGTGGTGGCGCACGCCTTTAATCCCAGCACTTGGGAGGCAGAGGCAGGCGGATCTCTGAGTTTGAGGCCAGCCTGGTCTACAGAGCGAGATCCAGGACAGGCACCAAAACTATACAGAGAAACCCTGTCTCGAAAAACAAAATAAATAAATAACAAATAAATAAATAGATGAATAAATAAATAGATGAATAGATAATAAATAAATACATAAATAAATAAATACATAAATACATAAATAAATACATAAAGGAAGGCTCTCTCTGTGAAAACAGGTGTTTGGGTGCGGTTTGTGCCTAATCCGGGTCGGGGAGGACCCCCACACACACTGTTGGGGGTCTCCTTCAGCACGGGTATAGCAAATCTCTTCCCGGGCTCGGGGGCTCCGGGGGTTCCGGGGGCTCCGCCCTGGCTGCCCACACCCGACTCCCTCCGTGCACCCTCTCGCTGCCCGCACAGGCGGCCTCGGGCATTCCGAGGTTCCCGCCTCCACTTTCCGGTGAGAAGTGGGGGGCGGAGGGCTCGGAGGGGGTCAGGCTGGGGACCGGGCCTGAGGGTCCAACCCCATGGGCTTTGAGCTAGCTCTGGCTCAAGGTGCTTGGTGACACGTCGTCGTCGGAAACCGTTGGGCCCCGGACGGTAAGACCGTTAGGACGACCGTTAAAACCGTTAAAGGCCTTCGGCCTCGTGCGGCCGCGGGGCGGAGCCACGGAGCGGCATTCCCATTGGTCAGCGCTCCCCGGGGGCGGGGCCTCACTCGGTGGGGTTTCCCCCTCGCACGCGTCTCTCGGCGGCGGCGAAGCCTGACGTGTGCGCGTGTGACACGCGCGGGCGGCGGCGGTGAGGGCACGGGCGGCGTGGGCCGCGGGTGGGGCGTGAGGAGTCGGGAGGGGTGGGAGCACGCGGGGGACCCGTGGGAGGGCCCCTGGAAGCCTGGCCTTCCGGGGAGAACCGGAGCCGACTGGACTCGTCCTTGCTGTTGGGAACAATCCGAACAAACAAAGCTTCCGCCTGGGAAGCACACAGCAGAAAGGGTCCAGGAGCTTGGAGGGCCGCTTCAGACATGGTGTTGCGTTATACTTACGTCCTGAGGGAGTCGCGTGAAGGTCAGGGAGCAACTTGGAAGAATTGGTTCTCGCCTTCCGTCATGTGGGTCTTGGGGATCGAACTTGTGTTCTCGGGGTCGGCAGCAAGCACCTTTGCCTGTTGAGCTATCTCTTTAGCCCTTGGAGAGAGATTTCTTTTTTTTTTTTTTTCCTCTTGCTGTGTTTAATATGAAACAGGAGAATAGACAAATAAACTAGTCTATAAAACAGCAGGGATTATGCTTAAATCAGAACACTCTGCTCCAAGCTTTTCAGCTAATTGTAGGACTCCTCCAGACACCTACATGGCCGTAGCAACTTGAATTCAGCCCAGGAAAACACTGGAAGCCAAGGTACAGTGTGGAGAGAGATTCTTGACCAGACACTATGAGAATTAACAATTCCTCCTGGCGATTATGTGGAAGAGGACCAGAAGTCTGAGGAAGAGCCTGGCTTTTTCTGCATTAAAGGAAGAGGGGTGTGAGGGGATATAGAGGATATAGGACATAGGGTGTGGAGGGAGGTGCTGGAAGGATTCGCAGAGCTGGGACAGGAGAATGGCAAATTCTAGGACAGCCTGAGCTCTAGGGAATTTCAGGTCTATCTCTTGTTAAGTAGTGGAACCCTACCCCCCCACACACACACACCCGGCCCCCCAAATTAAGCTGGAAGCCAGACGGTGGAGGCACAGCCTTTAATCCCAGCACTTGGGAGGCAGAGGCAGGCAGAGTTCTAGGACAATCAGGGCTACATGGAGAAACCCTGTCTCACAGAAAAAAAAAAAATCTCAGAGGAGTCACTCTGACGGCTAGGACCACCCTCTTTTCACACACATTCTTTATTCATCCAGAGCTTTTCTTGTAGAGATAGTGGCTTCACTTTCTTCTTTCATACTTTCTTTACTAAAGATGGGTTGATAAATGAACAGGGAACCCTGCACTTGAAAGGTTCAAATCTGTGCATTTAAGGTGTCATTTACCTTGATGGATAGGCATATTGGAATGGCTTATCTTGTATTCTTGTCTGGTAGAATCATTAAGGAAAGGGCTGTTCTGTGGAAAGTTAAAAGCTCATTTAGCTAACAGGAAACAAGTAAAAGCACAAAGGACAAGCTGAGGCTGAGGACATTAGCCCATGTGGGCCTTAGACATACTCAAGAGAATAATAAGAATATACCCTTGCCCTTTGTCGGAGACAGCCTCTCGATAGGTAGTCCATGGTGGCCTTGAACTCTCTGTCCTCTGCCTTGGTTTCTCTAGTGCTGAAATTATGGATGTGCCCCACTATGATTGGCATTATCACAAGTTTTTCAAAATAAATTTTATTTATCTGTATGGATGTTTTGCCTACATGTTTGTCTGTATACCACATGCATACAGTGCCTGAGGAGGCCAGAAGAGGGTGTCGGGGCCCTCAGGACTCAAGTTAACAGATGGTGATCTGCCAGCCATGTGGGTGCTAGGAATCAAACCTGGGTCCTTTGGAAAAGCAGCCAGTACTGTTAACCACTGAGCCATCCCTCCAGCCCCTATCACAGGGTAGCACTGTGTAGCTCTAGCTGGCCTGGAATTCACTATGTAGATAAGGCTGGCTTCAAATTTACAGAGTTCTTCCAGACTCCCTATGAAGCTTAGGTTGCCATTAAACTTGTCCCAGTCTTCCTGCTTCCACCTCTTAGAGTTAAGATTACAGGTGTGTAACCAACACATCTGGCTCACTGTGCAATTTGATAGCAGGTAAGGTCTTACTTGGGGCACATTAAGTAGTGGAATTTCTCACCAGTTGGATCAGAACAAAACTGCTGAAATGTTCTTACATGTAATTAGTACATTTGGAAATGTTATACTGTATTAATGTTCTGGATATTTCTCTGTTCTCTAATAGAAGTATTAAAATGAATTTTAATGTCTGGAATATCAAAGAGATGCTCAGTATTCCCTCAGGCTCTGGGTAAGTTTCCTAGGTTTTGGTTTTTTTTTTGTTGTTGTTGTTGTTTTGTTTTGTTTTGATATTTAAGTCCTGTGGTTTTATTGATTTCCTAGAAATTCTCATTCCTATAGCTGGAGTGGCTGTTGAATAATGCTAGAGTTTCTATATTGCCTCTCTTTTTCTTCTCCTCCATTACTGCTATTCCTTTTTATGCTTGTCCTTTTCCTCTCACTTATTTTCTGATTGGAAAAGTGATGTCAGTTTAGGGGAGATAGCCCAGGGTAAAGTGTTTGCCTGTCAAGTGTGAAGACTTGAGTTTGAATCCCCAAACCCATATAAAAAGTTGGGCACAGTGACATATGCCTGATATCCCATCCATGGTGAGTTGAGAGATAGAGACAGCTCTGGAAGCTCACAGGCTAGCCAGCTTGGCATGTGTGGCAAAGTTCCAGTGAGAGACCTTGTCTCCAACAAAAGATGGAAGGCACCTAAGGACAAGCAAGCACCCAGTGTTGTCCTTTGATTTCCATACAGATGCTGTTCATACACGCACCCACCCACTCACCCACCCACACGTACACCTGCATCCACATGACTATGCATTTGAACATCTACACAGACACACCTGTAGATAGTATCAGTGAAGCTCTGTATATCAGCTCTGTATACAACATTCAGTCTTGGGACTGGATCTGTGAGAATCAGATATAGAGCCCCAATCTTGAAACTGACCTGAATTAAGCAATGCTTTTGGAATAGAAAGAAATAAAATAAGTACAGTGTTCAATGTCTGTTTGTGTAATGTAATTTGTAGCTGTTCTGAAGAGAAGAGCCACTCCAGCTACCAGCAAAACCCAGTGGGATACTGTGCATACTGTGTCCACTGTCCACTGAGGTTTTAGACTAGTGTCCACCAGACTGCAATAAACCTACCTTTTCTAAACTGGGGGGAGGACTCTCTGAAAAGGGATTTAAATTGTTTTTTGCATGCCTTCATCACTGGATAGTTTCTTTCTTTCCTAACACTTTCCCAAGGAAACTTGCCAATTTGATTTAAAAAAGAAAAGAAAAACCTAGGGTCTGGAGTGATGGCTCCAGTTAAGAGCACTTACTGCTTTTGCAGAAGACCCAGGTTCATTTCCCGGTGCCCGTGTGGTGGTTTACTGCCATCTGTAACTCCAGTTCTAAGGGATCTGACACCCTTACCTCCTTGGGCACTAAACACATGGAACATGGTATACATACATACATGCAGGCACATCCACATAAAATTAAGTAAATATTATTTTAAAACCCACTCTTCTTTTTATTTCTCCAAAAGGGCTTGCTGTTTATATAAAGTAGAGAAAACTTTGTTTAATTCTGTCATTTCTATCATTGCTTTAGGGCACAATCCTATGTCAGGCTGGGCAGTGGTGTCTCATGCCTTTAGTCCCAGCACTTGGGAGGCATAGGCAGATAGATCTCTTGAGTTCCAGCCTAGCCTGGTCTACAGAGTGAGTTCCAGGACAGCCAGGGCTACAGAGTGAGTTCCAGGAAAGGTGCAAAGCTACACAGAGAAACCCTGTCTCGAAAAACCAAAAAAAAAAAAAAAAAGAAAAAAAACTTTCAGAGATACAAGCATTTAGTCATAGTAAGGCTTAATTTGTAGTTAAATTTTTCTACATTTATTGTGGTGTGTGTGTGTGTGTGTGTGTGTGTGTGTGTGAGAGAGAGAGAGAGAGAGAGAGAGCGAGCATGCACATGCTATAGAATGTATGTAGAGGTAGAGGACATGTGGAGTTAGTTCTTTCCACACGTGAGCCTCAGGGATTGAATTTAGGGGCAAGCACTTTTACCCACTGAGCCAGCTTGCTGGCCCCATTTCTTGTTTGTCTAGACAAGGTTTTGAAATGCATGTGCAACTGCTACTTGACCCATTTCTAGTTTTGGGGGTTTTTTGTTGTTGTTGTTTGTTTGTTTTTTGAGACAAGGTTACTCTGTGTAACAGCTCTGGCTATTCTGGAACTCACTTTGTAGACCAGACTGGCCCTGAACTCACTGAGATACGCCTGTCTCTACCTCTTGAATGCTACCTCCAAGTGCATGGGCCACCACCCCCCGGCTGTGTTAAGGTCTTACATAGCACAGGCTGCCTTTGAACTCCTTATATTCCTGCCCCCATCTCCTAAGTGCCAGCATTACAGTAGGAATTGTAGGAGCCACCATACCAGGCTTTGTGGATGTTTTGTTTTGTTTTGTTTTTGTTTTTGGAGACAGGGTTTCTCTGTGTAGTTTTGGTGCCTGTCCTGGATCTTGCTGTGTAGACCAGGCTGGCCTTGAACTCACAGAGATTCGCCTGGCTCTGCCCCCCCGAGTGCTGGGATTAAAGGCTTGCACCACCACCACCCGGCTTGTTTTGTTTTTGAGGCAGTTTCTATACATAGCCCTGGCAGTTCTGTAACTCACTATGTAGACCAGGCCAGCCTTTAACTCACAAAGATCTGCCTGCCTCTGCTTGTGAGTTTCTGGGATTAAAGGCTTGTAACAGGGTTAAAGCCACCCCCAGCTCAGGCTCTTGTGTTTGTATTGTTACAGTTCCTTCTCTCTCCAGTCCTGTTCCCCTTCCTTCACTTTCCAAATGTTAGGTTAAAAATATGTATTTTCATAGGTTTAAAAATTCACAAAAATGGCCGGGCAGTGGTGGCACACGCCTTTGATCCCAGCACTCAGGAGGCAGAGCCAGGCGGATCTCTGTGAGTTCAAGGCCAACCTGGTCTACAGAGTGAGATCCTGGATAGGCACCAAAGTTACACAGAGAAACCCTGTCTCAGAAAAAAAAATTCACAAAAATGATATGTAATAGAATTCACTTTAAGTAAAGTTCTACTTTTTTTTTTCAGATTTATTTATTTATCATGTATATAGTGTTCTGTCTACACATATCCCTGCAGGCCAGAAGAGTGCACCAGATCTCATTACAGGTGGTTGTGAGCCACCATGTGGTTGCTGGGAATTGAACTCAGGACCTTTGGAAGAACAAGCAGTGCTCTTAACCTCTGAGCCATCTCTCCAGCCCAAGTTCTACTTTTTAAATTTTTTTTGTGTGTGTTTGGGGGAGGGTACACATGCTATGGTATGTGTATGAAATTCAGAGGAGATGATTCTCATCTCCTGCCTTTATGAGTTCCAGGTTGTCAGCTTACCAGGCTTATGTGGCAAGTGCCTCTACCTGTTGAGCAGTCTTTCCCTAACAGTTTTTACTTTTTTGTACTCAAAATTATTTTTGGCCAGACATGATGGTGCATACTTTCAGTCCCTACACTTGGGAGTCAGAAGTAGGCGGATCTATGTGAGTTTGAGGCCAGCCTGGTCTACAAAACTAGTTCCAGATTGTCCAGGACTACACAGAGAAACGCTGTCTCAAAAAAACAATAAAACAACAATGAAATTATTTTTGTTTTGTTTTGGTTTGGTTTGGTTTGTTTTTTCGAGACAGGGTTTCTCTGTGTAACTTTGGTGCCTGTCCTGGATCTCACTCTGTAGACCAGGCTGGCCTTGAACTCACAGAGATCTGCCTGGCTCTGCCTCCCGAGTGCTAGGATTAAAGGTGTGCGCCACTGCTGCCCGGCACAAATTCGTTTTTTTAAAAAGAAGTCCCTTAATCCCTAAAAGTTTTATAAACTTTTGTCTAAAAAAATAGTGTTATAGCTCAAAATGCTGTGATACCGGAATAGTTGTGTCCATCCTTTCTGTTGAATTTCCATTTGCTTGTTCTCCAGTTGGCAGAATCCAAATGTGGGCATTCATAATTTCCTTGTGGTTCTGTAGAGGTCATCGAGGCAGTGTAGAGAGCACTTAGAGGTGAACACAAACACACCCAGAGCTACAGAACAGAGAGACCCTGTCTCAACAGCAAAACAAAATACTCTGAAGTAGTGGCTGTGCGTTATGATTTCATTTGTTCAGGATGTGTGTTTACTTAATGTTTTCTTGCTTCATTTCAGGATCACTAAACCATCTAACTGGAATAGTAACCAGACTGATGGTTCTTCTCTCAGTGATTCCCAGTTCCTCTTTGGATCTCAGTTTTGTCCAGAAAATTCAGAGATTCTGTCCACATCCTTGGATGTTGGTGCCTACTCAAGACATCCAAAACAGACACAACAGAATTCTGTAGATGTGAGTCTGATTTCCAGCTAGTTAAATTTTTCTTTTTGAGACAGAATCTTGATGTGTAGGCCAGTCTAAATTTCATCTTCCTGTCTCAGCCTCCTGGTTATTGGGGTTATAGGTATAAGCCACCATCCTAACTCTGATTTCTGGAATTTCACTGCATATATTTCATAGTTCTTATGCAGAGAAACTAAAAAGAGAATTATTCTATTGGAATATGAACATACCCTAGAATTGTACTCTGAAGATTTACTATCCTAAATGAATTAGTGCTTGATTGATGACATTTGGTTTGGTTTAGCTTGGTTTTTGAGTCAGGGTCTCACTATGTAGCCTTGGCTGTCCTGGAACCCTTTATATAGACCAGGTTATATATATCAAGGTATATAGCCTTGAATTAGAGATCTGCCTCCTCCTGAGTATTGGGATTAAAGCATCCACTACCATTCCCAGCTGATTCATGACTGGCTTAATGAACCTAGAAGTCTGAAATTTAAAACACTTCTATGGCCAGGCAGTAGCGACCCAACACTAGGGAGGCAGAGGCAGGCAGATCTCTGTTAGTTCAAGGCCTGCCTGGTCTACAAAGTAAGTTCCAGGATAGCCAGAGCTACTACACAGAGAAACCCTATCTTGAAAGAAAAAAACCAAACCAAACAAAAACCACTTATATGTATAGTTTCTTTTATTGCCAAAACAACATAGAGTAGTGTCAATCCCTTGACCATTTGTTTTTTTTTTGTTGTTTTTTTTTTTTTTTTTTTTTTTTGGTTTTTGGAGACAGGGTTTCTCTGTGTAGCTTTGCGCCTTTCCTGGAACTCACTTGGCAGTCCAGGCTGGCCTCGAACTCACAGAGATCCACCTGCCTCTGCCTCCCGAGTGCTGGGATTAAAGGCGTGAGCCACCACCGCCCAGCGACCATTTGTTTTTTAGGAGAGGCAAATATTCATATTTCCTAGCCTAATCATATACTATTATGAAAATTCATAAGAAACAATGGCTTTTTAAGATGAATTTATTTGTTTGTTTTCTTAGACAAAGTCTGGAACTAACTTTGTAGACTGGCCATGAACTCACAGAGATCTGCCTGCCTCTTGCTTGAGAATCCTGGGATTCAAGGCATGCACCATCATACTTGACGCTTTTGTAATAAAGGGGGTTAGAACAATGATTCAGTGAGACAAGGGCTTGCTTATAGACTTGAAGACCTGAGTTAGAATTCCTAGAGCTCATGTAGAATTCAGGCTTGGCAGCACATATCTGTAACCTTGCACTCATTCAAGGAGATGGGAGAGAGAGACAGGAGTCCAGCTGTTGTGGCCACATTGCAAGACCTCTGAGCAGGACCACCACAGAGCCAATATGTGATGCAAAACACAAAGGGGTTTATGACAAACAAGCAAACCCGGACCTGGTCAGCATCCAACATCTGACACAGTGGGTGGAGGAGGACGGCCCTGAGCTCTCAGAATGAGGGGTTTTTAAAGGGAAAAACCGCAAACAGGGTGGTACAAGCCTTGGGGTCAAATGATTGGGTGAGGGTGTATAACCTTTGAATTTACTGGTTGGGGGGTTACAGTTTTCATTTTTGGGCAGGCCTGGACAAGTCCCAGGCTTTGTCCTTGAGCTGCCATGGAGACTATCTGGCTTCACACGTTCACATTGACCCATGCACGTAGCTCTAAGTTGGTCAGTGGTCCCAGACAGTAAACAATTGACTGAACATTGAACAGTCAGAGTACGTGCAAAAAGGGAGCTACTGCAAGGACTATGTCTTTTGTTCATGGCCCTCCCAGAAACTGCTTGCTCAAGTCTCAGAAAAACTGAAATTGAGGCCTGATCTCTGAGAGAAGACTGAGCAGCCTGTTGTGGCATCTACTTGGTCCTTGCACAACAGGCCAGCTAGCCTGTCATATCCAGCAGTGAAAAACAAAGACCAACTCTTCTTCCAACACCTGAGATTGTCCTCTGACCTCCACACATGTGCCATGGTACACACATGCCCACAGTCATAGACACACACACACACACACACACACACACACACACACACACACACACACGATTAAATAAGTAAAAATCAGCCCCTTGACTTAAAGAAAAGGAATAAAGTGACAAATTTTATTTTTTCAGTCTGTTGATGGAACCTAGGGCCTAGTAGGGCAAGTGTTTTACCAATGAGCTATAGACACAGCTCTCTAATTTTTTTTTTTTTTCTGGAGCTGAGGATCGAACCCAGGGCCTTGGCACTTGCTAAGCAATCGCTCTACCACTGAGCTAAATCCCCAACCCCCAGCTCTCTAATTTTTAAAACATTTATTCTTGGGGCTGGAGAGATGGCTCAGCAGTTGAGATCACTGGCTGCTCTTCCAGAGGACCAGGTTCAGTTCCCAGCATCCACATGGCAGCTCACAATTTTCTGTAACTCCAGTTCCAGGGGATCTAACACCTTCACACAAACATACATGCAGGCAAAACACCATAAAAAGAAATAATTTAAAACATTTGTTCTTTGACAATTTCATATATGTATGATGTACTTTGGTTCCCATTATCTTCTCTCATATGCTTCTCCTTCCCAATAAATCCCTTCTTCCCAGCAAGTTTCCCACTGCTTTCCTGTGTTGTTTTATGGCCCATTACAATTGCTTCTTATTGTGTCTTTGCTTCTGAGACAGTCTCATATTGTCCTGGCTAGCCTCAGACTCACTGAATAGCCAAACTAACTGTGTAGCCAAAGATGACCATGAACTTCTTTATTATTATTAATTTTACATGTATTTATTTATTTGTTTTTTATTGTTTGTGTCTTTGGGCACAGAGGACACCTTGGTGGAGAGGGTTCTGACCTTCTACTGTGTGAATTCCAGGAATGGGGCACAGGTTGGCAGGCTTGGTGGCAAGCATCTTTACCAGCTGAGCCATCTCCTAGGTGTGACTTTGATCTTTTGAACCTCCTGGCTTGCACCACTACTTAGTTAACTTTTTATGAAAACTAATAACATTTATTTATTTATTTGTGGAGGTTGAGTACTGTCTTACACAATGTTCTATTGCTGTGAAGAGACACTATGACCAAGACAACTCTTATAAGAGAAAGCATCAACTGGGGGCTTGCTTTTAGTTTCAGAGGTTTGATACATTATCATCATGGTGGGGAGAATAGCAGCATGCAGGCAGATGCTGGAGCAGTAGCTGAGAGCTACATCCTGATTTGTAGGCAGGCTTTGTAAGCTTGGCATGGCTTTTGAAACCTCAAAGCCCAGCCTCAGTGACATACTTCTTCCAACAGGGCCATACCTCCTAAGCCTTCTCATCCTTTTAAATAGTGCCACTCCCTAGTGACTAAGCATTCAAATATATGAGCCTTTGTGGTCATTCTTATTCAAACAACCATAAGCACTGAAGTCAGAGAACTTGTGGAAATCAGGTCTCTCCCAAGTTCCAGGAAACAAATTTAGGTAGTCAGGCTTGGCAGCAGGTGCCTTTACCTAAACCATCTCCCCAACCTATTAAAAACGGGATGAATTGTGCCAGGCATGGTGGTGCACACTTTAATCCCAGCATTTGGGAGGCAGAGTTACGTAGATCTCTGTGAGTTGGAAGCCAACCTGGTCTTCAGAGCAAAGTTCAGGACAGCCAGGAACTACACAGTGAAACCCTGTTCAAAAAAGTCAAAATCAGGACCTAGAGAGATGGCTCAGTGGTTAAGAGCACTGACTGTTCTTCCAGATAACTCGAGTTCAATTCCCAGGACCCACATGGCAGCTCACAACCGACTGTAATTCTAGTTCTAGGGGACTGGATACCCATGGCAAAACACCAATGCACATAAAATAAAAATAAATTCAAACAAACAAACAAAAATCCAAAACCAAAAAATAATTGATGCTAGTGATATAAGACATAAATTGACTTCCTGAATATTTAGAACACATTTTTCCTAAGAAATAAAGGAAATGGCTCTTTGTACTACAGCTTGTGCACTTTATGAGCCTTGTGGAAGTTATCAACAGATACTGAGTTCAACAGAAGCTAAAAATAGCTAAAAAATATATATTTTTTAAATTTTTTTATATTTTTTTATTTTTTTTTTTAATGCCCAATGCCGTTTATTGAAGGAGGGAGGAGGTCTTAAATACAGGCTTACAGCACAATGGGAGAACCCTGGAGGGCAGAAGTTCGCTACAGATGTTTTACAATCTTGCATCTAAGCTGTTAACGCCCATTATGTAGGATACACAGACAAGGAACTTCCCTTAAGCATTCAGGAGGGTGGAACCTGGCAGGGAATTAGCATAGGGAGGATATCAAGGTCAAGGTCAGCAAGCAAGGCAACAGTTACCCAAAATGGGGGCCAGGGCCCTACAGGTTCCCCCTTTTACTAAAAAATGAGCTTCTGACTTAGGTTGCATGGGACGTCAGCAGGTCACCTTACCCGTCATGGAGACATCTGCCCAGGCCACACAGGTGTTCTGTCTTAGGTTGGTGAGCGCCACCCCCCCCCCAGGCATTACCCGTCTCTGAATACTCATTACCATACAGGCTCAATCGTGAGCTAAAAATATATTAATGTGAAACTTTTTTTTTTTTTGAGACAGGGTTTCTCTGTGTAGCTTTGCACCTTTCCTGGAACTCGCTTTGTAGACCAGGCTGGCCTCGAACTCACAGAGATTCACCTGCCTCTGCCTCCCAAGTGCTTTAATACCACTTCTCAGAGACAGAGTAAATCATCTTCTGTTTTTTCCTATAAATGTATTCAGTTGGTTTTGAACCATTTTAGTTAAAATTTTAATATTTCTGTGCTGTTAAGGTAGAAACTGTATTAACTTAGAAAGTTTCTTTATTATAATTTCCTGGTAGATACAAATAATGGAGCTCTGTGCTTTATTTGCAACCATATGCTTGGTATTTAAATGCCATTAAATTCTGCATTGTACAGAGAAGAGTGTGTGGAATTTGATGTTGATTTTTTTTTTTCGTTTAACAGAATGAACCTAGTATTTTCACGAAATACCAGACAAAGCCCCAGTTGTTTGGAGGCGATACAAAGGATGAAGGCTTGTTTTCTCTTCCTTTGCCAGTTGGAAAATCAAAAGGACTCTTGAAACAGTTTGAGGAAAAAAAACAAAGGACAACGGACAAATGTGACAGGTACACACACCTTTTAAGAGGATGAGAAAGCTCATGTTTTCTGAAGAAAACAAATGTACTATCAATAATCAAATAATTCAATTTCAGCCAGGGGGCAGTGGCGCACGCCTTTAACCCCTGCACTCGGGAGGCAGAGCCAGGCGGATCTCTGAGTTCGAGGCCAGCCTGGTCTGCAGAGCAAGATCCAGGACAGGCACCAAAGTTACACTGAGAAACCCTGTCTTGGAAAAAAAAAATTTCAATTTCAGTATAATAGCATGTATTAGGGTTGTGCATAGGAAACAGAAACAGAATCAGTATTACACACACAGTGTGGGGTATCAGTGACAGAGAAAGATAAAGAATCTGATTTATTATGGAAATCCCATAAATCTGTCATATGCAAGCTAGAGAACCAGGGAAGCCAGTGATATAAGTATGAATCAGAGGGCCATAGAAGGCAGGTGAGAGATGGCTGCTCATTAAGTCTTGAAGTTTGACCTAGGAGCTCCAGTGTTTGGGAGCAGAAGAAACCGGATGTCACAACCCAGGAGGGCAATCTTCCTTCTTTTGTCTCTAGTCAGGTCATCATTATTTTGGGTAATGTACCTGCACATTGATAAAGATTAACTTGGGTTTTTTTGTTTTAAGGGTATCATGTAGCCTGCCCACCCTATGTATATCAGCAGTAGTGCTTACTTAGCACGACAGGACTCTAGGTTTATTCTCTATCTCCATAAAATAAACAAATATTAAATGAAAAAGAAGGAGGACAACATTGGAAGCTGAATGTTGGGGTTTGCACCTGTAATCCCAGCTTTTAGTTGGCAGAAGCAGGAGGGTCAGGAGTTCAAGGTCATCTTTGGCAACACAGTGAGTTCTATTTGCAAGTCAGTTTGGACCAACTACTGCAGACTTTATCTCCAAACAAAAATTGCAAAGCACTCTTGCTTTTCTTTACTTTGCTTGTGTATTAGTTTCATTTTTGTTGCTGCCTATTATAAAATACCCAGACAAAAGCAACCTGAAGACAAAAGAGTTCACTGGGCTCCCAAGTTTAGGTTACAGTCCGTCTTTGTAGAGAAGTCAAGACAGCAGGAACATAAAGCAGCTGGTGGCAGCGCATCCCCAGTTGGAGAGCAAAGAAGAATGCATGCATGCATGTCCTCTTCCCTTCTTACACAGTCCAGGACCCACACCTAGGGAGTGATGCTGCCCACTTTTAGGCTGAGTCTTCCCATGTCAATTAATGTAATCAAGACAATCACCAAGAAATATACCCACAGACTATCTTAATCTGGATAATTCTTCCTGAGATTCCTTTCTCAGGTGATTCTACATTGTGTCAAGTTGACAATTAAAACTAGCCATCACAGTGTGTGTGTGTGTGTCCCCGTCCCTGTCTATGGAGACCAGAGGTGAGCTTCAGATGTTTTCCTTTATCATTCTCCATCTTTTTTCTTTTCCACCTAATTTTTTGTCTTGGTAAACTTTGACCTCATGGATTCATCTTTCACTAGCTAGCTAGCAAGTCCCAAGGATCTTGTTTCTGTCTCCCCAGCACTGGAATTAGAGACATGCATCACCGTGCTTGACTTTATGTACATGCTGGGGCTCCAAACAGCAAATATTCTACCCACTAAGCTGTTTTCCCACCCACCCTGCCTTGGTTTTTGAGGCAAGGTCTCTCACCAGGACCTGCGGCTCACTAATTAGGCTAGCTTAGCTGGCTGTTGAGACCCTGCAATTAAAAGAGTATGGCCTAGCTTTTTACGTGGGTGCTTGGGATAGATCTCAAGACCTCATGTTTACGTAGTAAGTACTTACCCACTGAGCTGATTTCCCAATACTCAAACTCTAGCCTTTTAATTTTTCTAATATGCTTTTGTTTGTTTGAGACAGGACCCCACTGTATAGCCCAGACTGGCTTTAAATTTGTAGTAATCCTTCTGCCTTAGTTTCTCAAGTGCTGGGGTTATAGGCATGAGCCACTAACACTTAGCTAGTAATTCCTCTTTGCTTTCCTCAGTGTGAATTGTAGATTTGAATGTAGCTTTTTGTCTCTGGAAAACAAAAACTCTATTTAAAAAAATGCAAAATTCAACTAATATTATATTGCTTCTGCCTAAATTTCTGCCTTCTAATTTAATTTTTATCTTTCCAGATCATCTAGCATAGGATATTAGATGACATTTATTATTATTGTTATTATTATTATTATTATTATTATTATTATTATTATTTTGGTTTTTCAAGACAAGATTTCTCTGTGTGGCCCCTGTCTGTCCTAGAATTCACCAGGCTGGCCTCGAACTCACAGAGATCTGCCTGCCTCTGCTTCCTGAGTGCTAGGATTAAAGGCATGCGCTACTATCATCACCAGACTAGATGTGTTTATGGTACATGATTTTTGTCTTGTGTAATGCTGGTAATTGAACATAGGGCTTCTCAAACATTAGGCAAGTGTTCTACCACTGAATGATACCCTCAATCCAGTGTAATAGATGAATTCTTAAGCCCAAGTGTAAGACTTATTTTCTCACTTTTTTTTAGATAGGGTCTCACTATATAGAGCAGGCTGACTTTGGAACTGCCAGGTATTCAACTACCTCTTCCACCCCTCCTCTCTCCCAGTGCAGGTACTAAAGGAATGAGTCACCATGCACAGCTAGATGTGGACAGAATTTCTTTTTCTTTTCTTTTTTTCTTTGAGACAAGGTTTCTCTGTGTAGCCCTGGCTGTCCTGGAACTTGCTCTGGCCTTGAACTCAGAGAGATCTGAGATCTGCCTGCTTCTGCTTCCCCAGTGCTGTTCTATATGAAGTTTCTTATTCAGTTGATTAAGAAATAACCCCCTAGGATCATTAGGGGGGCTATTACTGCACTTCCCAAGGAGCTGGGTTCAGTTCTCAGCACCAACATGGTCGTTCACAACCACCTGTAACTTCAGTTCCAGAGAACCTGATGTCCTCTTCTGGACTCTGGGGACACCAAGCACACACGTGATGTACATACATATATGTAGGCAAAACACTCATACATGTAAAATACAAATTAAATTTAAGCCAGACGTAATGGCACATTCCTTTATCTCAGCATTTGAGCAGAGGTAGGTAGATCTCTGTGAGTTCGAGGTCTGGTTTCCAAATTTAGTTCCAGGACAGCCAGAGCTACATAGTGAACAGTCCTGAAAAAACGAACGAAACAAAAATTTAAACCGGATGTAGTAGTGCATGTCTTCAGAAAGCAGAGGCAGGCAGATCATTAATGTTCAATACCAGGCTGGTCTACATAAAGTTCCAGGCCAATGAGGGCTACCTAATGAGACCTTATCTTAAAAATGAAAAAGAAGCCCAGTGGTGGCGCACGCCTTTAATCCCAGCACTGAGGAGGCAGAGACAGGTGGGTCTCTGAGTTCAAGGCCAGCCTGGTCTACAGAGCAAGTTCCAGGATAGCCAGGGCTACACAGAAACCCTGTCATGGGCGGGGATGAGGGGAAGAAAAGAAAACAAATATATCTCTCAGCTGGGACCAACAAGATGGTGCTTCCTGCTAGGCCTAACAGTGAGCTGAATTCAATCCCTAGAGCCCACATGGCAGAAAGAGAGAGCAGCCTCTTAAAAGTTGTCCTCTGACCTCCACACATACAGTACACACACACACACACACACACACACACACACACACACACACACACACACACACACAAATACACAAATGAGAAGAAAAGAAAGGATATCAGAAGCCAAGCATGGTGGTTTTCTCTCTAAATTCTCAGCATTTAGAAGGTTGAAGCAGGAGCATTACCAGGAATTGCAGACAAGACTGGACTAATATGTAATCCTACATTAAAAACACTGACTGAGGGACTGGAGAGAAGGCTCAGCAGCTAAGAGCATTTGCTGCTCTTGTAGAGGACCCAGGTTCAGTTCTCGGCACTCATGATAGCTCACAACTGTAACTCCACTTCCAGGGGATCCAGTGCTCTCTTCTGTCCTCCAATAAATACGTACTTACAGACTGCTCATGCACATAAAATTATAAATATTTAGAATAAAACCTGAAAATACATTGAATGGGTAAAGGAACTTGCTACAAAACCTGATGACTTGATTTAATCCCTGGGACTCACATGGTGAAAAGAAAGAACTAACTCTCACAAGTTGTTCTCTGACCTCCATGTCTACAATACACACATACACTCTAAATGAATGTAATAAAAAAGGCAGGGGGCCAGTTGGTGGCTAAGCCTCAGCGGTAAAAATACTTATTGACAACCTGACAACCTGACTTTAATCCCTGGAATCTCTGTGGCTGAAGGAGAGCACCAACTCCCTCAAGTTTTTCTCTAGCCTCCGCATGGGTGCTGTGCATTTGTGGGTGCACACACACATGAAATAAATGTAAATTTAAAATTTAAGAAACGCAAAATGTGTAATTTAAAAAAACTATTTGTGTGCATGGTTTTGTTTGCTTGTTGTTTTGAAACACAGTCTTACTATGTAGCCATGGTTGGCCAGGAGCTCTCTATGTAGGCTGGCCTTGAACTCACAGAAATCCACCTGCTTCTAAAATTAGGAAAAAGAGCTGGAGAGATGGCTCAGCACTAATTGCTTTTGTGGAGAACTTAGGCTTGGTTCTCAGCACCCACATGGTGGTTCACAAACATCCTTAAAACTCCAGTTCCAGAAGATCTAACAACCTCTTCTGACCTCCTCGGACATCAGGCATGCGTATGGTGCTCAGAGACACACAATGCAGACAAAACACTCACACAAAATAAATAAATCTGGGCTGGAGAGATGGCTCAGAGGTTAAGAACACTGGCTGCTCTTCCAGAGGTCCTGAGTTCAATTCCCAGCACCCATATGGTGACTCACAACCATCTGTAATGAGATCTGTCTCCCTCTTCTGGCCTGCAGGGATACATGCAAACAGAACACTGTATACATAATAAGTAAATAAATCTTTAAAAATAAATAAATATAAAAAAATAGGAATAAAAGGAAAATAAAGAAGCAGCAGAATGTAAAGAAGAAAAATGTGATGACTTGCACATTGGAACTCAGTTGAGTTTTGGCTGGATAACTGAGATTTCTCAGAGTTTCCAGCTCTGATCAAGCAATGTTTTGATGCTAGATGAACACCCGCCATAATCAGATGTTATATGCTATTTCAATATGGCACAAAGATTTATTCTCCCCCCTTTTTTTCTTAACTATAGTGAGATGCTGTACAACTTTGTTTCTCATTTTCAAGAAGTCATTCACAAGGTAAGTTGAGTTAAGTTGCAGCGAATTAGAGCATTGTGTATCTTAGGAATGGTAATCATTGTAGTGACGTCAGCAAATGTAGCTAGCAGCATGTTTACCATTTCATGATTCGATGACAAGACAACAGTTTGTGCTTTTTTTGTTTTTTTCTCTTTTTAAAATTTATGTTTATTTCATGTGTTTGGGTGTTTTGTCTGCATATATGTCTGTACACCACGCGTGTGCAGTGCCCTTGGAGGCCAGAAGAAGGCATTGTATCCCCTGGAATTGGAATTATAGACAGTTGTGAGCCATCATGTGAGTGCTGGGAATCAAACCCTGGTCTTCTGGAAGAGCAGACAGTACTCCCAACCTGAGCCACTTCTCCAGTCCCCATGTGATTTCTTTCTTAATTTTGGGTTTCTTAGCTGCAGACATCTGTGGAAAAGTCTGAGGAACATCTCAGTTCAAGAAGCCAGTCTATTTTGGATTCTTTGGAGACTATAGCCAAGACAAGTGAGTGTCCCAGGTTTATTTTTGTCTGGTTCTTTTTGTGAATTTTTGTTAGCCTCTCAAGGTTGATGTTAGCAGTAGAGGGCACTAGTGAGCCATGAGTGTGACCCTTCTGACCTTAGCCAGGTTTCCAGGGTGTGATTCTATACTGTTTAAGATGAGAGGATAGGTGTATAAAGTTGGGCCTGGATAGTGGACCCTACTGCTATGTGACAACACTTTTTTGTTTGTTTTTATTTTGTTTTGTTTTGTGACAGGGTATCTCTCTACATAGCCCTGGCTGATTTGGAACTTATTACCAGGCTGTCCTGGAACTCACAGAGATCTGCCTACCTCTGCTTCCCAGGTTCTGGGATTAAAGGCTTGTGTTACCACACCCTGCTTGTAAACCTTTGTGGGTTGTTTTTTTTTTTTTTTTTTTTTTTTTTTTTTGAGAAAAGTCTGTCTGTGTAGGCCTGGCTGGTCTGGAACAGCTGAGTTATAAAAGTATGTATTAGAGAACATCACTTAGCTATTTCAGACTTTAGAATGTAGATGTATCCCCTATAACTAGAGTTACAGTTGTAAACTTCCACAATGTGTAAGTGCTGGGAATCGAACCCAGGTCCTCAGGAAGAGCAGGAGTGCTCTTAACCACTAAGCCATCTCTCTAGCCCATGCTAACATTTTAATCCCATGGTGGCTTTTGTGTGTACTACTCCTCTACTCAGTAATCTTGCTGTCTCAGGGTGTGGTAGTTCTGCCAGCCTTCATACCTCATGCCTAAAATGAATCAGCAGCTTCCCTAGTCTCACATGGCTTGCCCGATGTCCTGTCTATGGACATACTCCCCCTTAGGAGTTAGAAATATTCCAGTCACTTGCTGTTCTTCTCACTGCCTTGGTTTCAGTGAGAGTTGTTTTGTGGTGAATCAGTCCTGGTCTCAATGTCAGTTATAATGTGAGGTTTGTAAAATCCCCTTCCCCACCAATTAAGTGTTTTTACATGTAGATGAACGCCCTTATAAACAGTCAACGCACAATTCTCCTTAGCTAAATACTCCTGTAGAATTTTCTAAGAAAAGTAGATGATTATGCATCTGTACTTGTTTGCATTTTGTTTATTTTTTATTTTAAACTAATTCAAGTCAGCTTATTCACATGCCAAGGGATGAATTACTCATGATTTACAAAAAATCAATGCCTTTGAGTAGCTCATAAAATAATTCCCATCTGTCTGAAAAGAAGCACTGTACTGTTTATCTACTGATTTCCAACCTTGGCTACACACAGGGCAACTGTCCATCTGTTTAGAGATGTTAGAACTAGAACTGTTGCCCTCACAAGAATTAGCAATGCTGAGAACAGAGGCACATGAGGCTGTTCCCTTGTACAATGTGATAGGGTGACTCAGTTGTCAGTGCTCCAGTCAAGCTTTCTATTGCCATGACAGAAGAAGAGGTAAAGGAGTGCTGGGTGGTGGCACACGCCTTTAGTCCCAGCACTCGGGAAGTGGAGGCAGGAGGCTGTCTGTGAACCTGAGTCCAGCCTGGTTACAGAGTAAGTTCGCCGCCCAGCTTGTCATTTGTCTATTATTTATTGTTTATTTTTCTTTCTGCATCAGGCATTTCACACAAAGTATTTTATATAATCCTGAAAGGTATAGGTGCTTCTCTTTGTACTTATGGAAAAACAATTTATTAGGAAAAACTGTCCTTGTTTTGTATTTAGTTCAAGAGACTGCACAGGTCCAGCGTGACTTGATGTTTGAGGCAGTACGAGACAAAGGCAATATGGAACAGGCCATCCTTGAGATACAGAAGAGATTTGAAACTGTAAGTATAAATGCAAGCTCTTGCTTTGCCTTACCTTGTTATCCAGGCTTATCTTGAGGTGCTGCACCCAAGTGATCTTGCCCCAGCCTTCCAAGTAGCTGAGGCTAAAGATACATGGTATGCCCTGGTGTGCTTTTGGCTTTGTCTCTAAGACCAAGAGAGACACTTAGTGTGTGAGAAATTTTCATCCAAGACCAGAAACCAGGATGGTTCTTTTTAGTAAGTCAGGATACAGCCTACCCTCGGGGTTCCCTGGCAACATGTGTACTCAGGCCGTGCTCACAGTGAAGCTATGCTTACTCTGTGAGAGACAAGCTAATAGGTTTTCTGTCCCCTGACAATAGGTTTCTCTGCCAACATAGTAAGCCAAGCTGGGAGGTGGTGGCACAGGCCTTTAATCCCAGCACTTGGGAGGCAGAGGCAGGCGGATCTCTGTGAGTTCAAGGCCAGCCTGGTCTATGAAGCGAGTTCCAGGACAGCCAGAGAACTGTTACACAGAGAAACCCTGTCTTGAAAAATAAAACAAACACAGTAAGCCAGATCAAGTCGAACTGAAAAAGTATAACAGGTTTATTTGAGCAAATAACCAGAGAAGACATACCCTGGAACTAAAGCAGGGGATTACATAGTTTGTAGGTGCAGGGTGATGATGTGTTTGCCACAAGCTGGTCTAGTATGGTCTAGGCGGGGGTCTTGGGCTGCTATCAGCAACAGCAGAAGTTGCAATAGTTACCAAGAATGTGGAACAGGGCTTTTGGGCCCTTTATCTTTGTTGGAGATTCTCTGAGAGGCAGAGTTTGGAGAGAGAAAATGGGACTTTCCGGATCAAGCAGGAGTAAGGTGGAGATTCCAACCAAACACAAGACTTGGTCCACTGGTTGGTTCTCTTAGTTTTTTTTGTTTTTATATTTTGAGACAGGGTCTCTCTCCTGTAGCTCAGGCTGTTTAGAAGCTACTATGTAACTCAAGCTAGCCTCAGATTCAGCTAATCCTCTTTTTAGTTTATATTTTAAAATTAACTTGTTTTATTTTTTTTATATATAAGTGCTTTGCCTACATATATGTCTCTGTACCGTGTTTGTGCCTTGTTCTCATGGAAGTCAGAAGAGGGCATTAGATCCCCTGGAACTGGAGTTAGAGATGGTTGTAAGCCATCATGTGGGTGCTGGGAACTGAACCTGGGTCCTCTTGCAGAGTGCTTTTAACCTGTGCTCTAAGTCACTGAACCATCTCTCCAGCCCCCATGCTAGTCCTCTTGACTCAGCCATCTAAGTGCTGGGATTAGGGTCTGAGCTCCCATACCCACATCTGCTGTCACATTTTTTTTTTTTTTTTTTTTGGTTTTTCGAGACAGGGTTTCTCTGTGTAGCTTTGTGCCTTTCCTGGAACTCACTTGGTAGCCCAGGCTGGCCTCGAACTCACAGAGATCCACCTGGCTCTGCCTCCCGAGTGCTGGGATTAAAGGCGTGCGCCACCACCGCCCGGCTGCTGTCACATTTTATTGTGACCATCACTCTCCTCTTTCTCACTACCTTCCCCAGAAACAAGCTGAGTTTATGGAGATGAAATCCAACCTGAAGAACCTTGAAGTTTTAGTTGCCCAGCAGAATAAGGACTTCCAGCAGCTTTGTGAGAAGCTGGGCCAGTTCAGTGTGCCTGGTGTTGTAGAAGAGCTGAAAAAACTCATCTCTGCACCTCAGGTAGCTGGGCGTCTGAAAGACAGCACCTCCCAGACCTCACCAGCTCAGGCCCAGAGCCTTCATTTTACCAGGCAGGAAAAATACACCTCTGAGGAGCCAGCTGCTCAGCAGGCCCAGGTGTCTCCTACAGGGAATCCCAGTAGGAGTTCTAGGAGTTCCCAGAGGCCTAGGGAGTTTGGCATCTTGGATGAAGGAGCAGAGAGTGATGTTTTTCAAAAGGCTACATTGCCAACAGATGGGCCCCATAGAGGAAATGAGCATTTGAAGAACAAGACCATGCAGACTTACTGCAAGAACTGGGTTATCACCACCAGAAGCCTCAGTAACCACTGCTCTAGCCTCCCAAGCCAGAAGGCTGGCAGTGACCAGGAACTAACTGCCCAAGAAGCCTCACAGCTGGACTTAAATAAGTTTGAATCCAGAGTGAAGAATGTCTGCCCCAAATATGAAGCCCAAAGCATGTGTTCTGACTCGTTTGAGCAGTCAGCAACTGAACAGAAAGGCAGAACCCGAGGAAAAGGGAGGAAAGGCAAGAAGCAGCAACCCAGGAAATCACAGAGAGGCAGGCTTCTATCTAGGAAGCGAGAACAAACCCCAAGGAAGGCCTGTGCTTTCATCGCTAAGCATGCAAGTCCCCAGTCTCCAGTTTCTAGCCCACAGGGGCCCCTCATCAGTTGGCGGGCTCCAAGAAGCTCCACAAAGTCAGCCCGTCATATTCTGGGAGGAAGAGTAAGGACCAGTAAGACAACAAGGGAAGCACATGGGGGAATCCTGCAGTCTACCCAGCGCTCCTCCCCAGACCAGGAGTGCTTATCCAGCAGTTCCCAGGGGGATCAGCAGATAAATTGGTTCAGTGACCTCAGCCTTGAAAACCCAGAGCCTCATCTCTGTAAGAAGGGAGGGAAGAATTTGCTCTGCGATCCTGATTTTGACAGCAGTGATGATAACTTCTAAAGCTGCCAACAGTGACTTCAGCTGGTGGTTCGTTGATCTCAGAAAGACAAACATTTGGACTGGGCAGTAGCATACAGTATCTGAAGCTGGCTTATCCAGCCTCAGAGTCAGAGGCCCTGGCTGATGGTGGTCAGTAGGAGGTGGGTGAGAACCCAGTATTATGGGCACTCATGACAAGGGCATAGAAGTAAGTACATCCTCAGTTAAGAGGAAGAAATGTATGGAGATAGTGATAAACTGACAAGCTCTGTTAGCTATGGTGAGGCATCAGGAAGGCAGTTGTGTGTATCTGGTAAAAGGAAGGGGCATAGCTTCCTTATGAATACAATCTAGAAGAACTCTCAGAATTCTCGTGGCTGCATGACTAGCTCTTGAAACAGTCCCTACACCTGATGGATAACTTTCTGAACCTCAGAATTTTATTATTATTTTTCAATCTAGTTATACTGTCAAAGAGTTTTGTCTTTTGCATGAGAGGACATGTTACAGGACACACTATTAGACAGGAGTTCATTGTGTAGGCTTGCTGGCCTTGTATTTACAATCCTCCTGCCTCAGCCTCCAGTGCAGGTACTACAAGCATGTCTCAATTCTCAGCTGTAAATCAGTCTACTTAAGAACAGAGTGTTAGCTGGGCAGTGGTGGAGCACTTTAATCTCAGCACTTGGGAGGCAGAGGCAGGTGGATCTCTTTGAGTTCGAGGCCAGCCTTATCTGGTCTACAGTGCTAGTTCCAGGACAGCCAAGGCTACACAGGGAAACCCCATCTTGATAAAACCAAAACCAAATGAAAAAAAAAAAAAAAAAAAGGAGATGCCTGTGAGAGTTGGACATGGTGGTTTATAACTGCAATCCCAACATTCAGGAAGCAGAGACCAGAATTGCTTCAGATTTGAGGCTAGCCTGGTTTACATAGGGTGTTCTAGACCTATTATGGCTACATTATGAGATCCAGGGGTGGGGGGTGGGGGTGGGGGACTGGCTTTGAGAGGTGATATAGACCAAACTTCATAGCACTGGGACTCCTAAGCCAAGTGAGTGTATTATTTTTTTCCCTGGCTGTTTTTCTCCATTCAGTTTTTCAATTACTTTTGTTGTTATTTGTTACTAAGTCACACATAACCCATACTGGCTAGCCTCAAACTCATTATTGTAACCAAAGGTGACCTTGAACTACTTCTGATCCTCTTGCCTCTACACCTGGCTTCAATCACTTTTTTTTTTCCTTCCTAGGGTTCAAACCTAGGACCTTGTGCATTGTACGGAAGTATTCTACCACCAAACTATAGCCCTTCAATCACTCTTTTGAACTAACTGGTCTTTGTTTAAAAATGACATAATAATATCTAATACCTAGTATGCTAATTAAAAATAAATCGAGCCTGAAAGATGGCTTGGCAGTTAAAAGTATATACTCTTGCCAAGGAGCAGAGTTCTGTGTCCAGTACCTACAAAAGGCAGCTCACAACTGCCTGACTCCAACTCCAGGTCATCTGATGCCCTCTTCTGTCTTCCTTGGGCACCTACACACACACACACACACACACACACACACACACACACACACACACATACACACATACACACACACACCTACACCTGTTGCTTACACACAAAGACATACACACATACACATTACGAAGAATAAATCTTTCTTGAGATTTGTCAGGCTATCCTATAACTCAAAGAGATCTGCCTACCTCTGCCCCTAGAGTGATGGGATTAAAAGTGTACACCACCAAGCCTGGCAAAATTAAACTTTTTAGAAAAATAATTCAAAAAGCATCTCAGGGTCCCAAATTTCCCACAGAGTTCTAAATAAAATGCAAAAACAAGACCAAAATAATCAAAACTAATATATTTGTAGAACTTCCTATATTGTTAGAAAGCAGTAGACTTTTTTTTTTTTTTTTTAATTTCAAGACAGGGTTTCTCTGTGTAGCCTTGTGTCCTGGAACTTGCTCTGTAGACCAGGCTAGCCTCAAATTTATAGTGATCTGCCTGCCCCTACCTCCCAAGTGCTGAGATTAATGGTGTGGGCACCGACCCCTGGCCAAGCAATAGGCTTTTATATTAGACTTTGACATTCCATTTATATCTTGTTGATAGTTTTTGTTATTTTTGTTTTTGAAGACACTGATTACATGGAATTCATTATAAAGTCCAGACTAGGCTCAAACTCATGGCAATTCCCTTTCTTCAGCCTCTCAAATACTGGAGTTGTGGGCATAAAACACTATGACTGACTTTGAAATTTTTCAATTTTTGCAACACATACATATTTCTTTGTAATTAAAAAAAACCACTAAAACCAAAAATGGGCTGGAAGATGGTTCAGCAATTAAATCACTTGCCATACAAAAGTTCAGATCCTAGAAATCCACATAAAAATGCTGTGTAGGTGAGTCAGCCCATCTGTAATTCCAGCCTTGGAAGGTGGAGACAGAACAAGCTGGCTAACAAAACTAGCTGTGTCTGTGAGTTCTGTTTAAGAGATCCTACCTCAATAAATAGGTGATTGATTGAGGATGACTCCTAAAATCAACTTCAGCTTCCACATGCATGTACACCCACACCCACATGTGCCCACACACCACACATGCATGTGCACCCACACCCCACATGTGCAAAGTGGAAAAAGAAAAACAACAAACAACAACTAAACCTCTGGGTGTGGTGGCACATGATTGTAATTCAGGGGGGTTGGGACAATAGGACCCAGGTTCAATGCCAGCCCAGGCTACACAGTGATACTGCATCTCACAAGAGAGAGGGGGCAGGGGGAGAGGAAGAAAGGGAGGAGAAGAGAAGGGAAGGGAGGAAGGAACAGAAAAGGGGTAGTGAAGGAAGTCAGTTGGGGAGAAGCTTCATGGAATGAGTGGTTTCCTGGAATTGCCCGTTTCTAAGCCAGTTTCCAGCCCCCGGAGACTAAACTGTTACAGAAAGAAGTGACTTTCTTTTAGGAGTGTGTTCCCATATAATTCTGTAGGACTTGAATCTACCTATGATACCATTGGCAGAGTGCCAGACCGTTCTCTTATTTCCAGACCAAGGGCCTTTGTAGCCTGGACCTCCCACATATGTGGACAATCACAGCCGTCTTCTCTTAGGCCAACGTAGTTCCAGCCTGGATTCTGCCTCAGGCTGTGCTGGCCTCTTCTTCCTGTGGACCATATAGGCTGGCTGTTTACTCTCCCTCTGCAGCCTCCATCGCAGCCCCTGCTGGGCTCCATTGCCTGTGCACAGAGAGGTATGAGAAGCTGCAACCCCACTACCCAAAAGGCTCCTTCCAGCCCTTCCCTGTTACTGTTGCTCACTAAGCCATCGGAAGGAAGCTTCGAGACCAAAGGACCTTATTTCTGGTGAACAATGCAGTAGTTGTTATACTTTATTTTTATCTTTGTTGATGTTTGTTGTTTTAATATTTTTATTCAAAGTTGAGATCCTGTGAATTTACAGTGTTTTTCAATTAGTGTTAATGACTGAGCCCTTTTTGAACCATGTAACTGTAAAATGCCAGAGATGCCCTAGTCTTCAGCAGTCCTTCACTTTGTGTGATTCAGTGTTCATGTGCGGGCTGGTTTATAGACGTAAGTGGGAAACTCAAGACACTGCCTGTCTCTGGCAGTCAAGGGTACTCTGTTTCTTCGTTTATTCCTGTGGCTTTTTACTTTTTTTTTTTTTTTTTTTTGCTGCCAGACTTGGTGAGCATGACACAGTCTCAAGCACGTCCCTGGAACACACATTTTTGGCTCTTCAGATGCTCCTAGAGCTGTATGTAGCTATAGAGGGGCGGATGTAGTGGGAGGTCTAGGGGTGGGAGGATGGAGAGCCTGCTGAGTGCTCCACCCTCTGTTACTCCAGGATGGAAATGAAGCTCACAACAGCACTTAATTGCCTGACAGTCCAGCATCAATTTACATATCACCCATATCGCTGGCAAAATGGCCCTTTTACTTTGAGAGAGAGAGAGAGAGCACTGGTCCTCACAGAGAGAGACAGTGAGAGAGAGAGAGAGAGAGAGAGAGAGAGAGAGAGAGAGAGGAGAGTGTGCTGGTCCTCACAGAGAGAGAGAGAGAGAGAGAGAGAGAGAGAGAGAGAGAGAGAGAGAGAGAGAGAGAGAGCGAGAGCCCGAGAGAGAGCCAGAGCCCAGCGCTGGTCCTCACCTGCCAAAACCATGTGGGTTCTGAGGACCATTCACTCTCTTGCTCTGTTTTATCTCACACTGATGTAGCTGAGTTCGTATTCGTGTTTCACTTGCCTTGATTAGAGTTATAGACTCCAGAAGTAAGAACAACACATGCCTTGTCCTTGCTGTGTTCCCAGCACACAAAGTGTCTGACTTGGTACTTACTGGGGTAGAGGCTGCATTTTTAGGCAAATAGCTTTTTTAAAAACCCCGTCTCAAGCCAGGTGTGGTGATGCACGCCTTTCATCCGAGCACTAGGAGGCAGAGGCAGGTGCATCTCTGAGTTCAAGGCCAGCCTGGTCTACAGATTGAGTTCCAGGACAGCCAGGGCTACACAGAGAAATTCTGTCTTGAAAAACCAAAATCAACCTCCCGCCACACACAAAAGCCCTGTCTTGAGATTTGAGCCTTACAGAGATCCTTTTGCCACCTTCCTCCTGTTGCTTCAGAAGCTCCAAGAGGCTCCTGCTCTTGCCCACTTCTCTCTCTCAGACAATTCCTAGCAGCTCTTCCTTCACCCAGTGTGCCCAGAAAACAGTTGCTGGATAGGTTTGTAATTTAGATTTTTTTTTAAAGTCAGTCATAGGCCAAAACTCTTTACATTTTCCAGACAGCCTAGGGCAGAGAGTTTCCACACTAGGACTTGGATCCGTTGTCAAATACATTTCCTGAGTAAAACTTTGTTCCTTCTATAAATACTTAATTGGAACCTAAAATATTAATGTTTTCCCACAGCAAGGAGAAAAATTGCCAACCTTAGAAGATCTGGGGATGACAGTCTTTTCAGCAATTCTCAGTTATCAGGCAATTGGGTAAATGGCTTCTGAAGCCTCCCTATTTCCAGGACTCTTACCTTTTCCCCCTGCAATATTAAGCTTATGTGCCTCAGAGAAGTACCATGTGGGTCCTAGATGAGCCCTTTTCACAAATCTTCATCAGTCTTCCTTGAACATTAATATCTTACAGTTACATCTGTGTCAGGATGGCCTTAATATCCTACTAGCTTGTTTCTGGGTGTAAACGTGAAGTACACCCACCCCACCCCAGCCAAACTGCCTGTTTCCTTCCTGTTCTCTTGATTCTTCTGGAATATTCTCTGAGGTTGAAAGGGGAAAGCCAAAGAGAAGGCCAAGGAATTAGGGAAAGTAGGACAAGAAGTCACTGTCCTGTTCCCTAAGTTGGGGGAATTCTGAGTGTTAAGCATTGCAGCTTGGATGGAAAGGGATCCTGAGTCAGAAGCCGAGGAACACCACAAAGTCACCTTAAATGTGGCAGTTTACACCTGGCAGTGGTGGCGCACGCCTTTAATCCCAGCACTCGGGAGGCAGAGGCAGGCGATCTCTGAGTTCGAGGCCAGCCTAGTCTACAGAGTGAGTTCCAGGAAAGGTGCCAAAGCTACATGGAGAAACCCTGTCTCTAAAAACAAAACAAAACAAAAAATGTAGCAGCTTACAGCCCTGCTCCAGGGAAAGGTTTCCCCAATGTAACAACTCTGCTCCAGCAGGGGAGGGTTTCCCCAGAAAAGTTGTTACAGTTATGCTTCGGTCCTGCAGGGAGGGTTTCCCCAGCGAAAAGTGTTAAGTTTCTTCTCTGCTCCGCTCTGCTCTATTCTGGTGAAAGGTCTCACCCAAACCTCATTCAAGACATTTACTAGGAGGGAAGAATCCAGGATGACAGCCACTCTGCCAGGGTGGAAAAAAGCCACAGCACACCGAACAGGCACAGGGCTTATGTATAGGCCTTCTTAGGGGCAGAGTTTTTCCAGGGTGGAGATTTTCAGGGTAGGAATTGGTTGGATTTCAATCCCTGAGCTTGGACAAGCTTAGAGATTGGCTGGATTTTGTGATCAGGGATTGGTTGGTTTTGTGTTCAGGAATTCGTAGGTTTTCCTGCTCTGGGATGGGTTGGTTTTTGTACTGTGTTGGTCGGACAGAGAGTATTTCTTTGGCTGGCCCTTTTACCCTACACTGAGAGCTAGAAATGATAAGACAGGTTTCAAGTGCCTGATGGAACTCCCTCCCTGGCACAGGTACAAAGGCATGCTCATAGGAGTGCCCTGACACTCACATGGGTAGGCGTCAAGTGCAGGTCTTGAACTAGATCTCAGTAGCCAGGGCCAGCTGTGGTTGAATGTGGGGAGCACTGCCATGCAGTTGGCCTGAGGGCGGTGTCAGCATTTCAGCTCTGACAACAGCAGCTCTGCCTGGCCCGCCTTCCCCTGCTGTTTAACCTAAGCCTCCAGCTTCCAGCCTTTTGTTCTAGGAACATCTGCAGACTAGTTCTTGCCTGACTGTCTCAGATTCCACCAGTCTACTTCCAAAGCTTCGGCTTTAGCATCTTAGTGGGACGCAGCCTTAGAACCTGAAATCCTAAGGGTGATGACCTAGCTTCTCATACGTCTTATGCTGTGATTTGGATTTGCAGTTTGTAGCCAGCAGGTTCCACTGCTATTTATTCTTGAATTTGCCTTGTTTCTATTTTGATTCTGGTAATCCAAATTGCAGTTTGGTGTTTCCACGGAAACAATTCAGCAATTGTTTGGTGTGCCAAGATGAACTGCGGGGGATGGAACTGAATGACGTCAAACATTTTCAAGTTTCTCCGACATGACCAGGGTCAAGTGTCACTCATCATGAATGCCTTTGGACCCTGGAAGCCTTTAGTTTTATGAAATGCTATGTTCTAGGCTCCTATAGCCTCTCCAGCAAATTCCTGAAAAACAATTCCTCCTCCTCCCCATGGAGCCCAGCAGAGGACAGAGGCAGGAAGGGCTGTTAAGGGCACATCAGTGAGCAGGGGATGTAAACAGGTGAGGAGGTCTGTGTACCCACCTGAGTAATCTGGGCCTGGCGTGTCAAAGACTTGGGGCTTGCCTACTTTGCCAAGCATCTGTTTCTACTAGTGAGGAAGAATAGCTCTCATTTAGATGATATTTTTACACACACAAAGCCTTGGCTAAAACAAAACCAAAATGTACCTCCCTGTCTGGCCAGAGTGAGCCTGAATTATCTATCTATCCTTATCTATCCTCTCCTTGTATTGGGCCCACATTCCCCAGGGCTAATCTCCACCATAAGCAAAAACAAAAACAAACCTGTGATTTCAAAGGGTTCCATAGTTAGGGTTCTGTCCTCATTCACTGCAGCCACCTCCCCTCCAAAGCCCTGCATGCAGCTACACACTGACCATGGAATTCAACTGGGATCCTGTTTTGTGAGACATAGGACAACCAGCCTGAGTATCCAGTACTCTCAGGACAGGGGTCCTACAGGAGTCCCGTGTGGCCCTAGAATCCATCCTTTCAGCTCTCACAAACTGTGACTGTTGGTGACAGATACCTATGGTTCACTGATGGAGACGGGGATTCAGAATAGACATGTCTTAGGGCTGGAGGTGAACCTCTGAGAAATGCTTGCCTAGTGTGTCTGAGCTGGGGTTGATGTGCAGACACACACACACTTTGATTTCTCTGTGTAGCCCTGGCTGCCCTGGAACTCGATCTGTAGACCAGGCTGGCCTCGAACTCACAGAGATCCACCTGTGTCTGCCTCCTGAGTGCTGGGATTAAAGGCGTGTGCCACCGTTGTCTGGCAGAATATAAAATATTATTTAAAACCACTGTAATCCCCTTTGATGCTTCCCTACAATTTTTTTTCTTTTCTTTTTTTGGTTTTTTGAGACAGGGGTTCTCTGTGAGCCCTGACTGTCCTGGAACTCACTCTGTAGACAATGCTGGACAAATTTAGCTTATACATTTAAAAAAAAGCTGGGAGTTTATTGCATTTTTTAAAAAATTATTTATACTTTATGTAAGAATGCTCTGCATATATACCTGCACACCAGAAAAGGTCATCAGATCCTATTACAGATGGTTGTGAGCCACCATGTGGTTGCTGGGAATTAACTCAGGACCTCTGGAAGAGCAGCCACTGCTTTTAACCATCTCTCCAGCCCCAGTTAATTGCATTTTTAAATGTTAAATTTTGTAATAACTTTAGATTTACACAAAACTTCAAATATAGTGAGCATGTGTAAACCCTGCCCAGCTTTCCCAGTGTTGGCATATAACTGAAATATTTGCCAAAGCCAGGAAACTAGTACCAATACATTAAACACCAGCCTTCATATAGATTTCACTTATGTAAACACCCCTTACTGCTCGAGCATACAGTCCAGGGTTCACATGCTTCTTAGGCACTGTTTCTTCTTAGTCCTGTTGGTGAGAACTTTTGAATCTTTAGTTTTTCATGACCTTGACAATCCTAAAATTCTGGCCAGGGATCCTAGAATATCCTGTCTGGGTTTGTCTAACATTGCCTCATGGTTATAGACTGACGACTTTGGATTTTGTAAGCATATCACAGATATGAAGCACTTTTTTTTTCCGGTCGGCCTTGAACACACTATGGCAGTGGTTTTCAACCTTCCTAATGCTGTGACCTTTTAATACAGTTCATGTTGTGATGATCCCCAACCATAAAATTATTTGTTGCTACTTCATAACTGTAATTTTGCTACTGTTATGAATTGTAATGTAAATATCTGTATTTTCTGATGGTCTTCGGCAACCCCTGAAAGGGTCCTTTGACCCCAAAGGGTGGAACCCACAGGTTGAGAACCACTGAATTGTGATGTAGTCGAGGATGATTGTGAACTTCTGATCCTCTTGCTTCATCTCCCAAGTGCTAGAATTACAGGCATTAGCCACCACATCTACATTTTAAGATTTTACATTTATTTGCCGGGCGGTGGTGGCGCACGCCTTTAATCCCAGCACTCAAGAGGCAGAGGCAGGCGGATCTCTGTGAGTTCGAGGCCAGCCTGGGCTACCAAGTGAGTCCCAGGAAAGGCGCAAAGCTACACAGAGAAACCCTGTCTCAAAAAAAAAAAAAAAAAAAAAGGGGCTGGAGAGATGGCTCAGAGGTTAAGAGCACTGACTGCTCTTCCAGAGGTCCTGAGTTCAATTCCCAGCAACCACATGGTGGCTCACAACCATCTACAATGAGAGATCTGGCGCCCTCTTCTGGCCTGCAGTCATACATGCTGTATACATAATAAATAAATAAATCTTTAAAAAAAAAAAAAATTGAAAATTTAAAAAAAAAAAAAAAAAGATTTTACATTTATTTTATTTGAAGGATCTTGGTTTTTATATGTATGTATGTGTCTATTCGAGTGTATGTCACATAAGTACACGTGCCAGAGGAAACCAGAAGAGGGCGTTGGATCCTCGGAGCTGGAGGTGTAGCAGTTGTGAGCTTCTCTTCATGGGTGCTGAGAGCAAAACCGAGGCCCTCTGGAAGGGTGAGTACTCTCAACATCGCTCCAGCCCTCCTCCTTTCCACTCTTTGAGAAAGGGCCTCGCTCTATAAACCAGGCTGGTCTCTCAACTTGCCATTTTCCTGCCTTGGTCTCCTAAATTCTTTGAGTACTGGGCGTGCACCATCACCTGTGGTCTTGTTCTAACGTCCACATGGCATTGCTGGGGATGAGAAGTCTCCTGATTTGTCAGTCTACAGGTTTCTCCTCTCCACATTTACAGCTTTTCTTAGTTTTTAGATAAGAGTAACCAAGTCTGGCTGGCTGGTTTTAGCACTTGCCTTTAATCCCAGCACTCGGGATTAATTAACTAATTAATCCCAGCAGGCAGATCTCCGTTAGTTTGAGGCCAGCCTGGTCTGCAGAGCAAGTTACAGGACAGACAGAGCAACACAGAAACAAACAAAAGTCTTAAAAAGAGGAGTAACCGAGTCTAGTTCATCCTTGAGAGTGATGACGGGGTGAGAGGTAAGGCAGGGGTTAAGTTCTGCCTCTGTATCTGCAGGGCCTGCTGGTGCACACCGTTGTAAGACAGGGGGACAGCCAGGCCTATTCTCCCTCTCCCTCCCTCTCTCAAAAACAAAATAAAAAATAAAAAATAAAAAAAATGAAGTCCACTTCCACATACAGTTAAATAATATGCTGGCTTGAGACATATTTCATAAACATGAATAGCAAGTAGGCTGACATCCCTCCATCCAGAACAACCTGAGCAGAGGCAGCCAAGTGAGCATTCCAAGTCTGACCTCTAACTCCACAGGCTACATTTGCTAAATACACTCCCTCCTGCAGGGATTAAATGGCAGCCAGCCAAGAAGAGCCACCGGTTAGACTTCCTTTTCTCTTGCCTCAGGCAGGCAATGCCAATGACCATCCCTGATGGAAACCAGTGAACACTCATCATGGGGTTCATTTGACAAAGTGGCTAGGTGTGTTGAGAGATTGCCAGGTGATGGCATGAATGATAAGTGATATGTTACCGCTACTGCATATACCAGTCGAATACCACTGAGCCAAGTCCCAAGATTAAAATAATTGAATGAGGGCTGGAGAGGTGGCTCAGTGGTTAGGAGCACTGGTTGCTCTTCCAGAGGTCCTGAGTTCAATTCCCAGCAACCACATGGTGGCTCACAGCCATCTGTAATGAGATCTGGTGCCCTCTTCTGGTGTGCAGACCTACAGGAAGACAGAACAGTCATATCCATAAATAAATCTTTTTAAAAAATAATTGAATGATACACTCTGAGTCATCTTGCCTGCTACTGTGCTTTTGTGCCTTTTTTTTTTTTTGGCTATGCTGACCTCAGGAGGACAACGGCCTGGTCCCTCCTCTGTCTTGGCTCAGCATGGTCTTTGCTATAGAACTACTTATGGTGGGATGATGTGGTTCAGGTGTGATGATGGATAGGTAAACCTGTACTGACTCTCCTACCTGCTGCCCTCAGCAGGGGTCCACATGTCTGTGGAGGATATATTAGGTCCTAAATGAGACAGCCTGGAATCCTACCAGAAACTGATTCAAGCAGATCTGCACAGAGAGGCATTGCCCTGGGTAGGGTAGGAATAGGGAATTAAGGGAGGTAAATCAGGACATAAAGAAAACATGGACACAGGAAACAGGGATCCCTGTGCGCAATGTGTGTGAGGAGAGCAGAGTACACAGGTAGCAGAGGGCAAAGCCAAACTTCAGTTTGAGCCTGAACTCTTCTGAATTGAGCTTACTTGTGGTGGGCTAGCTAGTCTCAGGTGACAGATCCATCCTGGTTACAGTTCCCATACTGTTCCAGGGATATGTATAAAAGAATATGAGGAGAAAGAGCAGAGGCACGCGCTACCAAGGTTTGTATTGTGTATATTGAACACCAACCAAAAACACACTTTAAAAAATGTCAAGTCAAAAAACTCCAAACATTTCAAAATAACAGAATATTAAAGCCCAGGCTCTCAGCTCTGGGATTCAGCAGGAACTAAACAGGATGTGGCAATTCGGAATCTGCCAACCCCTGGGAAAGACTGGCTTCTGATAACCACTGTGGCTGCTGACGGTCAACCCTCCTTACTCTATTTGGTATTTAAAAGACGTCATCAAGTTGTAGTCCTCCTCCAGGTCCAGAACAGTCTCAACAATATTTTGGTCATCAAAAGCCTTGTTGAGGCTACCAGGGTCAGCATCCAAAGCCTTCCGAGGGCTCTCGTCCACAAGCAGGGCCCAGGCCTCCTCCTTGAGGGGTGAATCTTGGCAGCGTCCACACACACGATTCAATTCGTTTTCAAATTCTAGTTTTCCAGCCAGTTCTTCAATAGTTCGAATACTTGTATGGTCTTAAAACAACAACAAAAGGACATTTAGCTTTATAGTTCTTTATAGACATTTCTGAGAACATTTCAGGCATAAGTTAAAGCCATAAAACTAATGTACTCGTAAAAGAACCTTTGTCTAGCTTGATACCTACTACCACAAGCTAGCAAGCAAGTAGACACAAACCATAAATGGTAAACATTTCAGAGGCTGTGCAGAACTTGTGTGTGTCGTGTCCCGCACACACAAGTGAGCAGCAGTGTAAGGTGGGCCTGATACCTTCCTTTTACACCCCACAATTCATCCAGCCCCGATTATCCTCCATTCCCAAGGATGGTATGAATGGAACATGCTGGTTCAGGCTCTCAGAACTCCCTGACCTGTGGGGATGACAAGATGGTCTAAAAAGCAGAGTCTTTAGTGTAATCAGAACACTGACTGGTGATGGGCCAAAGTGGCGATGACTTCAGTTTATCTCCTGGGGCTATCAGAGGACAGTCAGTCCTCCAAAGTTCCAGAGAGGTTTGGGGGCCCAACTTGAGTACCATTCTTCATTAGCTCTCCCTCAAGTCCTTTCTAACCTGGAGACTCTTGCAGTCAGCAGTTTCTGGCAATGCCTGAGGCTATGTAGCCCTTAACCAGGAGCTGCTGGTCCACTGTGCAATAGGACTTATTTAGAAATAGGACACACAGTTCAGAGAACATACAGATACAGAATGTGTGTAGGATAAACGTCTAACTGCTGGGTGTGGTGGTACATGCTTATCATCCCAGTACTCAGAAGGGTCAAGCAGGAAGTTTACAAGTTTGAGATCAGCCTGGCCTACCCATCCAGAGTCTGAAAAAGAAAAAGCTTGGCATAGCCCTAGGGAGTCTCCAAAACAAAACAAAACAAAAATAACAAGAATGGGATGAGGTGGGTAGGTGCTGGAAGAGAGCTCAGTTGTTAAAAGGACTTGCTGTTCTTGTAGAAGAAAGACATGATTTGGTTCCCAGCACCCACATGGTGGCTCACAACTCTGGAATTCCAGTTCCAGGGAATGCTAACACCCTCTTCTGGCCTCTGTGGGCACAAGGCATACACACAAGGTGCACATATATAAATGCAGGCAAAACACTCATACACATAATCTTTAAATTGTGCCTAGATTAAGAAAAAAAAATTTTTTTAAGAAAAATGGAGCTGGGTGGTGGTGGCACACACCTTTAATCCCAGCACTTGGGAGGCAGAGGCAGGTGGATCTCTGTGAGTTCAAGGCCAGCCTGATCTACAGAGCGAGTTCTAAGACAGGCTCCAAAGCTACACTTGTCTTGAAAACACTGAGAGAGAGAGAGAGAGAGAGAGAGAGAGAGAGAGAGAGAGAGAGAGAGAGAGAGAGAGAGAGAGAGAGAGAGAAAGAAAGAAAAGACAAATGGAAGGGGGATTGAGAGATGCCTCAGCAGTTAAAAGCACTTACTGCTCTTGCAAAGGACCCAGGTTTAGTTCCTGGTACCCATGCCTGGTAACTCACAACCACCTGTAATTCTAGCTCCAGAGGGAGACCTTTGAGGGGACCCACACTCATATGCACATACCCACACTTAAGATACACAAAGCCACATGCATAACTAAAAATAATAAAAATATTTGAAAAGGAAAACTAATGGGACATATAGTACTATGCTAACTGGCTGCTTCTAGAGAGAGATGATATTTTATTCTTTTCGACAGTGTCTCATTCTGCAGCCTTGGCTGGCCTCAAATTCATACAAATCTGCATGCCTCTGCCTTTCAAGTGCTGATATTAAAGGTAGGTGCCACTCCACTCAGCTACAAGAAAGATTTCTTCCACTATTGTTTCCCACTCTGGGTGGAATTTATTCTCCTTCCTTAGGCCTGTACCCCATTTCCTTCAGCTCTTCATTCAAGCACTAAGGCTTGGAGGTTGTTATCTCTTCCTTCAGGGACCCCAGATCCTTAGAAGATACCTAGGTAATGATCTGTTTGACCTGTGACCTCACGAGGTTAGCTGTTCATTGAAGAAAGGGGCAGTACTGATTATTTCACTGTTTTCTACAGAGTCTGCTGCTGTGAGCAAACTAAATTTACCAAACAAGATGTGTGGACTCCTGGCCTGTGTGAAGGACCAAGGAAAGGATGGCCCAGCTCTCTACTTACCAATCATATCTAGCAGATCCTTTGTGACCTCTTGGCTAGAATTGCTGAGCAGCATATTTGAGTCAACTTTTAAGTCTCTCTCCATATCCTTCCTGCAGTCCAGATTAGGTGTGGACGAGGGGGAAGAAGATGGGGAATTAGACATTCTTTCAGGATTCTTAGTGCTTAAAAAACTCCAGATAATATCAAATGCAACTGGTTTGGTGTTTTCTTGTTGTTGTTTTTAAGATTTATTATGTATAGTGTGCTGTCTGTGTATTTGCCTGCATGCCAAAAGAGGGTATCAGATCTCATTATAGATGGTTGTGAGCCACCATATGGTTGCTGGGAATTGAACTCAGGACCCCCAGAAGAGCAGTCAATGCTTTTAACCTCTGAGTCATCTCTCCAGCTCCTGTTGTTTTAACACACAGTCTCACTATGTAGCCCTGGCTGGCCTGGAACTTACTATGTAAACTGGGGTCGCCTCAAATTCAGAGATTCCCCCTGCTTCTAGCTCTTGAGTGCTTGGGATTCAGGACATGCCACCATGCCCAGCTAAGACTAAAATTTACTGGTGACTACTTTTTATGCTATGAGAATAACCAGAAACTGCTAACTAAATCAGTGGAAACCAATAGCAACATCATAATGACCCATTCCACTACAGGCTGCATTAATGTTTATGAAACCATCACATATATTTGCAGTTAAATGGCTTCTCAATTCCTTAACTTTGGGACAGGCAAGATGGCCACACATCCAACTCATATCACATACAATCAGCCCAGCTCTAAGTCAAGGTACCTGGGGTGAGGCAGTTTGTAGTTACTTAGTAGGTCTAAAGGAGATAGTCAAAAGTCGTTTTGGTTTGGTTTTTCGAGACAGAATTTCTCTGTGTGCCCCTGGCTGTCCTGGAACTGGCTCTGTAGACCATGCTGGCCTCAAACTCACAGAGACCCACCTGCCTCTGCCACCACAGCCTGGATGAAACAAATATAAAGATAAACCAGGAAGTAGGGCCTAGCCATGGATCTAAGTGTGGGCAAAGGAAGGTAAAGGCTAGTGCCCTGGCTCTGAATACAGAAGACTGTTTCTGCAGCCCAAGGTTGTGTTTGGGTCTAGATCAGATCACTCAGGACTGGTAGCTCATGCCTGTAATCCCTGCACTTGAGACTTAGAGATCTGAGTTCAAAGTCACCCTCAGTACACAGGAGTTGAAAGCCAGATGGTCTACTTTAGACTGTCTTAAAAAAAGCAAACATAGGCTGGCAAAATGACTCAGTAATGCAAATGGAAGCGTGACAACTTGAGTTGGAGAATCAGCTCCTGAAGTTTTTCCTTTGACTTCCATAGGCATACTGTGGTATACCTATGCCTACACTCAAACCACATACAAGCATCTACATACTAAAAAATTTTAAAAAATAGAAAAAAAAATGGGCGTCTGGAGATGCTCATCAGTTAAGAGCACTGTCTGCTCTTCCAGACATACAGCACCTACATGGCAGCTGTCAGTAACTCTAGTTCCAGGGGATACAATGCCGCAGCTTTCTGGCCTCTGCAGGCACTAGGGGAATGCATGTGGTACATATAGACATGCTTGCAGGCAAAACATCCACACGTATAAAATAAAAACTAGGAAAACCCTCAGTGTATAAGAAAAACATTGCTAAGGCTTGTAGATCAGTGGTAATGTTTGCCTGGCACAGCATGCATGAGGCCTTTGCTTCAATCCTCAACACCACCCACAAATTTAAAAGTAATTATTTAACACTGACTACCCTTTGGTTTTCATGAGTGTTTGGATATCTAGGGTTATCAACCACACTTTTAACCCAAACACAACAAAACATAACTGTCTGTTGGGTCAGATTCTGATGAACATAATTTCCTGTACATTCTTAGCACTTCCAAGAGAAGGCTAGCTTAGCAATGAATCAAATCCGTGATGTTCAACTTTTTTTTTAAAACAATTCTTCCTAACTGATGCTCTTAAGCTATCAAATTAGAATCACCTTAAACTTTCTTTTCTCCAGTTTTCCCCATCTCCCGCAGCTCTCCAAAACTGTCTTTCACGTGCCAAAATGGAAGAGTGCATCAACACATTTTCCTTGCTGGTCAGAGGTTTTCTTTTGGGGTATAAAGGAAGGGGTTTTGTATTAACTGGGACATGGTGTGGCGCAAAGACGGGATTCTCATTCTCAGGAGAACATGAGGCACCAGCGCAGGGGGCAGCCGAGGAACAAGCAGCCAGTGGGTTTCTGCAGGGCAGTCTGTGCACCGGCAGGGAGGCGAGCGAGGACGAGGCGTCCGACCTCTGCGGGCCTGTACACTCCTGGGAATGCCTGACTCCTTCAAAGGCTCGGTCTATGGCTGCAGTCAGCTCCTTCCTGCATCTTCGTAGTTTCTCAGACATTTCCCTAAAAGCGACCATGCCTTTTATTATTTAGTAATTGGAAACGCACAGAGCAACACGACAATGATGCTATACAAAGGCCGAGATTCAACCCCGATTTCGACTTTGATCTACCCTTACACCACATCATCCTTCTCTTCCTCCGAGGGGATTATTGCCCGCCATTCTCAGAGGACCCCAGATGGCGGGGAATGCCGGGGTCCGCCGCCCCACCCCCTGGAGCTTCCTTAGCTGGCTGCGGGCCAGGCCTTTCCCACCGTCCCCTACTGCGACCCAGTTGTTGTCTGGGTCCCCAAACTATGGCCAATTTAGGCCGGAAGGGCCCCGCTGCGTCCTCACCCAGCCGTGGCCGCACAACAGTGCCCAACGGTCACTGCGCTCACGTGCCAAGACCAGCAACTCCAACCCTCAGGGACTAGGTTAAAGGTCGGTGGAGACTCACATGACCACGGGGCAACCAAGGCCGGGAGGGGCCGTCAGCAGACGGGGAGTAACGGGGCAGGCTAAGGGAGAGAATCGGATCTGGAAGGGTCTATTACTGAAAACGTATGGGGCAGGGTGGGCGGGCGCGGGGTTGTTTCCCGAGACGGTTTCTCTGGGTGGCCCTGGCTGTCCCGGAACTCACCCTGCAGACCAGGCTGGCCTGGAACTCAGAGATCCACCTGCCTCTGCCCCCCGAGTGCTGGGGTTAAAGGTGTGGGTCATCACCGCCGGGCCAGAAACTATTTTCTTAAACCTCATTAACTAGCGTGTTTGAAGACCTGACAGACACCCACCGTGTTCTTCTGAGGCCAACACGGACAAACAATGCCACACTGCTCCCAGTTTTATGAATGGACTTCTTTTAAGGGAGAGCTACTGAAAGTTCCACATAGAATCTGTCTGTTTATCGAGGGCAGTGGAGTCAGAACTTCAAGGTTCCATGAGAAACTGAAAACAAGACCCCCAATAACCGGGAAATTCTGAGAGAACAGACTAGAAACGGTTCCGGTGGCTAATGTTTATAAACTATAAACCCATCTCAGTGAACAGCAAAGAACTCGAGGACAACATCGACTTTACTGGAGGCTTGGTTTACTGTGGCCAGACTACTGGGGTGACCAGTGTGGGCACCAGAACCCAAAACCCAGGAGTTCAGAGCAGCCCTGCATGGTTCTTCACGGCTGCACCATACACAATTACAGGGTGTTCCTCTCCATTCTTTGGAATCCATGAGACACACACCACTGTGCACCAAACCCCACCCCACATTTCAGCTCCACACGTTTTATATCACCACCTGTTTAAAAGAAAAAATAATTCAGCCTCTTAACATAACCCTTCTGAGAGAGAAGGGTTTTTTGTTTGTTTTTCTTTTTCTTTTTCCTGTTCTCATAAAAGAAGGTCGTTTCCTCATCTGGTTTTTAGATTGACATGAGCGGTCTTCAAGAGTTCCAGAGACATTCTCCTGGGGTGACATCGGTGCTGTGCGGTGGCAGAGTCACTGAATCAGCATCAGTTGGTGTCCATGTTGGAAGCCTCATCATCCGCCAAGCCCTGCTGTGAGCTGCCCAGCCTCATCCCTCCGTCCGAAGAACCCGGGACACTGGTGAGCGGAGGTGCACTGTGGCACTCCTCATCCCGACGCTGATAGAACAACACATAGGCCGCTTTTGTCTAAAACACAGGAAGGGGAGGGCGTCCATCACTGGGAACAAGCTCGCCTGTCCCCACGACTAAACTCATCATGGTAGCTCTTGTCTAGAATCCCAGCAAGGGGAGGAAGAGCCTAAGAGAGGAGGGTTTTTTTCCAAATTCAAAGCCAGCCTGGGCTTCAGAGTGAAACCCTGTTTCAAAAAAATCAATCTTAAACTGGATGTGGTACACACACCTGTCCCAGCACTCAGGAAGCAGAGGCAGGAGAATTACCTTAAGTTTGAGGCTAGCCTAACATACAAAGTGAGTTTATAGTCAGTAATATATAGGAAGGCACAATCTCAATAAACAAGCACTTTCAGGAATCCGACATCTTGTCTTGCATATCCACACCTAGGAGCAGCCATAAAGGCCTTTACTAGCTGCCTCCTGATGACCCTGCCATGGCTGTGGGGAAATGCAGGGTTACCTCAAGGAAAACTGAGCTTCTCCATTAGGAAAGATCTAGAATGATGGCAGTGCATTAACTCCACCCAGAGCCTCTCCAGCTAATGAAGTAACCATCTCGCCTAAGAGGACCTTTCTGGCTTTTACTTGGTAGGTAACGCAGAGAAGTAGGTGCCTGGGCAGGGTACTCACCACTATCTGATCCTCAGAAGCCAGGGACACGTTGCTATCATCAAAGTAATACCATTTCCCATTCAGTTTGTTCTTCGCATATGCAGTGTCTGCCAAGTTACAAACAAAATACTCTAATGGCCACCGGAAAAAATTAATCAGATTATTTTATCAGGCTAACATTAAATATAAGCACAAGTTCATACCAAAAAATATTAAGACTAAAATGAAGAATAATGTATAACCAGTGTGAGTCCCTCAAGAAGTAGAGACAAGAGTACTGTCCCCAGCACAAGGCCAACCTGGCTGAGTCTAGGCAGGGTAGTATAATGAGACCATGTCTCAAACAGAAAAACCACCACCACCAAATCATATAACAACTAATATGTACATACATATAAGTAACAATACTTTTGTTTATTTCTCTGGGTAGCCCTGGCTGTCCAGGAACTCACTCTGTAGACCAGGCTGGCCTCAAACTCAGGAATTCACCTGCCTCTGCCTCCTGAGTGCTAGCATTAAAGGTGTGGGCCACCACCACCCCCAGCTCTGTCTACTTTAATAAACATCTGTGATTTAATTACATGGCAGGTGGTGGGTATGAGCCCAGGTGCCGAGTGCCCAAAAGGCGGTGCTGTGCTCCCTGGAGCCGCCTGACATGGTGCTGGGGACTGCACGCAGGTCCTCTGGAAGAGCAGTGTTCTGCACGCCTGAGTATCTCTCCAGCTGCCCAGTGTCTAGTTAATGGCTGTGATCAGTGCTGGAGACCGTGCAATGATAGAGCACTTGCCTGAGGTTTCCATCAAACGAAAATGGCCTTGAGTAGAATCCAGAGCCACAGAGAAAACCGGAACAGCTATAACTGAAACGCAGGTGGAAGTCTAAGCTAAGGGTTAACTTAAGGATTCTGACAGCCAGAGCCACATAGTAAGATCTCGTCTCAACAAAAAACACAAAAAGGTTTCCATTAAAGTGAACTTAAATGTCAGAAATTCTGGATAGGGCAAAAGAAAGAAATGGCTACTTTTTGCTGGGTATGGTAGTGTACCTGCATCATCTCAGCACGTAAACAGGAGGGTGGAAAGGACAGGCGTTGAAGGCCATCAAGGGCTACCGGGCAGGTTACAAGCCAGCCTGGGCTATACAGTGAGCTCCTGTCTCAAAACCAAACCAAACCAAAAGTGAACTAATCTTGGCATCTCTCACTCCAGGGCTCTGCGCCCCTTGTATTTTCGTGCTTCTTGATTTTGCAGAGCTGGGGTACTACTTCTGTACTGACACTGATTTTGTGTAGTCTTTTCCATTAGTCACTGTGAAACGGCTATTCTCTGATCAAGGCCCCCAACAACAGTGACAGCTGTGCTCCCAAACGCTGTTACTAACACCACTGTTAGAAAAGGTCAATGAGTCGGTTCGGCGGCCCACACCTTTAATCCAGCACTTGGGAGGCAGAGGCAGGCAGATTTCTGAGTTGGAGGCCAGCCTGGTCTACAATCTACACAGCTAGTTCCAGGACAGCCAGGGCTGCACACAAGAGAAACCCTTACTTGAAAAATCAAAATAAACAAAGAGGCAAATGGTTTGTGCATAAAATTTCGTCATGTCATTGTCTTAGGAGAGAACCCCAGGTGATCCAGAGGCTCGGTGAGAGGCTACGGCAGAAGGACCGCCAGGAGCCCTAGTCACCCTGGCTGGACTACATGATGCGTCCCAGGCCAGCATCAGCTAATCAGTGGGACTGTCTTGAAAAACAAAACAAAACAACTCACAAAGTTAGCACTACTGAATTAAAGAATATGAAAATTTAGAAAGGAGAAAGGAAGGGGGTAGGAGGGTGGAGAGACTGAGAAAGTCCACAGCCTGAGACCATAAACAAGCCAGGGGCTTATGGCAGTGCCTGGCATCAAGGAAGAGGCTGAGAGAACACCAGGTAGGGCACTTCTACCCCTCGGAAGGAAGCAGATGCCAATACTTACAGTGACCAACCCCCATGGCTCCATAGTGATTGGACACAGCAATTAGGTCATAAACATAAGGCCTTGCTGACCGGTCACAGACAAACTCGGACATGTTCAGAGCTCTGAGTGAAAAACATAATAGCCCACAAACATGTTAAAGTCTGTAACCCAACAACCCCTTCCATCCAACAGAGCAGAGTATACGGAAACACTCTAATTATGGGAGAAGAGACACACCAGGGCGGAGTGACTGACCATCTGTCAGACCAGGAACTGGGAGAGATCCAAGGTGTGGTGTTACCACACCATGTAGGTTTCAGGAGGGGTAAGGAGATGCCAAAGAGGGCTTCAGCTCCTGAGTGGGGGAGGCTGTTATTAACAGAACTACAACCACCCAAGGCTGTAATCATTTAAATGTCAGAACAGGCCCTGGGAAGCTTTACTATATTTGAAATTTTCTTTGTTATTATTACTGTGTATTTGTATGATGTGTTTGAGTGAGTACTGAGTGTGGCCATTAATGCCACATCACAGGTATGGAGGACCGAGGATAGCTTTTAAGAATTGGTTCTCTCCTTCTACCATGGATTCTAAGAACCAAACTCAGGCCACGAGGCTTATGTGGCAAGTGCTTTTCCTTGCTGAGCTGTCTCACTGGCCCACTCGGAAATTTTCAAAATACAAAAAAGGTAAAAGTGAGGCGGTGGTAGTGCACACCTTTAATCCCAGCACTCGGGAGGCAGAGCCAGGCGGATCTCTGTGAGTTCGAGGCCAGCCTGGTCTACAAAGTTCCAGGAAAGGCGCAAAGCTACACAGAGAAACCCTGTCTGGAAAAAAACAAAAAGAAAAGGGAAAAAAAAGGTAAAAGAATTTTTAACTACCAGGGTGGCCTTGAATTTGCAATCAATGATCCTCCTGCCTCAGCCAAGGATTACAAGCATGCACAACCATACTCGTCTAAGGACCCCTTCCCTCGAGTAGGCTACTCTGGTCACCATGTTCCTGTTAGTGAGAAGCAGCACCGAGCCTGTGCTGTCCTGGCTGAGGCCAGGTTCCGACACCAATGATGGACCAGCCAAGCGGGCCACAGACTGGTGGCCCAGACAATCCTCAGGACTGTTCTCGTAGGGATTCCCCTATTAGTGGGGGAGGAAGGATGATTCCACAAGTCAACCTCCCAGAGCCAAGGAATAGCGACCTAACTCAAGCACCCTCACCCGAGCAGCACAGGGATCCCCGCCCACTTCCAACCCTGCACCTGCTGACACCCACCTGACCGGGAACTCCACGACTGTGTCAAGTTTATCCCGCCAGTATCTGTTATAGGAGAACCGTTTGAGATGAACCACCAGGATCTTGGGCAGAGACCACAAGTCAAACTTCTTTGTTGCCTGTTGGTGCTTCTTACAGGTAGGGCAGTACCTGAGGAGAGCAGATAAGGGCAGCAGGAAGCCACCTGGTGTGCTTATGTGGGGACACAGCTACTCTGTCACAAGAGCTATCCTTTTAGACAGGACTCAACTCTAGTTTTGTTTTTTTGTTTGTTTGTTTGTTTGTTTTAAGATTTTTCTATGCTGGGTGTAATGGTGCACTCCTTTAATCCCAGCACTCGAGAGGGCAGAGGCAGGCAGATCTCTGTGAGTTCAAGGCCAGCCTGGGCTACAGAATGAGGACAGCCAAGACTAATACACAGAGAAAC